GAGTAGAAATAATTGTGAATCTGAAGCAGTTATTTGCAGCTATTTTAGAGTGTTGTTTGTTAATTCTTTTTTTTTTTTACTCATAATGCACTATTGACCAGCATATACAAATGATCAATCCAAAACACAGCACACATAGCCTGAAGATTGCACTCAAGCATGAAACACAGTCAATTCTTGGTATTCAGTGTTTTAATATTTTATATTTACAAACACATTTTCTCTGATATTGAGCTCTTAAATATAGCATACTTTAAAACTATTTTTATCATATGTATAATATTTACAATGGTTGTTTAACACAAAGCTACAAGAATAGAGCACTAATTCAATATCCATTACACTGTGCCACTCTTCTACTCATGAAGCATCCAATGAGAAAAGCTTGCAAGGTTATCAACAGGTACTTATTTAAGAACTGTGTCTCTAAATTCTATCCAGTTCTGTTTGAAATAATTTCTTGGATGAGAAACAAAATGATCACAATTCGATATTTCCTTCTTCCTCTGACCTCATCTATTACTTTAAACTTTATGTATTGCACTTTGATCACTTATGAATGGATAAAAAGAAAAGCACTTTTGAAATTTTAGGGATATTTTTGCTTACTTGCTTTTTTTTTTAAATCACTTCAGTTCATAAAAAGGAAACCAATGACTGTCAAAACTCTTATTGTTCTTTGCTTATTTATCTAATTTGATTTTTTTCTTATTTTTTTGTCTTTACAGAATTGTTTGAACTAAATGTTTCATTAATTTTTTTCAATTTTTCACATTATTTATAACCTCTTCTTTATTCAAGTTCAGCTACTAAATATTTTTTCTGAAATTGGATTAAATAGTGTATCGAAAGAGAATTTGTAACATTGTTTCATTCTGTTAGGATTTCAGTTTACATCTCCAATTCACATTATTAAAATAAAAAAGAAAATTAGTGCAAAATAATACTGTATCCAGAGGGAGGAAATTTTAGTCTTAGGTTCAACCCACATCATTTTTACCTGCTGCAAAAAAAAAAAAAAAAAAAAAATGGCTGAATATTTACCTTATATTCTCCCATAACCAATGGATTTTTATTGAAATTTGAGTAACTTGGCATAAGATCAAAATTACTTACATCATCCCAGCAGTTTCTTAACTTTCTAATCAAATAATTGTTAAAAGCTCTGCAAAATATTATAAAATAAATGTCTATCATTTTTTTTTTATCTAATTAATAAATTATTGCAAAATGCTGACTTTAGAGATTTTTTTTGTTTCTGTATATTAGAAATAATAAACAAAAACTAAAATTCAAGTTTGTAGTGAAAATTGTATTTGTAAGTTTGCTAGAAATGCCATGGCTGTAGAATTAATAAAATAAAATTTGACATATAAAATTATTGATTCCCTGGAGATCCAAAGTTTGAATTGATGATAGTGTTTTGTGTCATTGCAATATGTAAGTACAAGTTTATAATAAAAGTAAAAATTTTGTTCCAGTCGTACTGTTCCACCTTTAATCCCTCTGTCCAACAACAGTGGTTAATTTTTTATTGTATGAAATGTATGTACAAATGTAACAGAGGAAGTATTTTCTTTCAAGTCACCATCCAAAAATTCCTATAATCAGTATTGAACCCTAAGGAAAAAAAACATGTTTCCAAATTTTACTTGGAGAGAACAGGAGCCATTTCTTTAGAACAATTGCAAGGACAAATCCACAAGACTTGTGAAGATTTAGTTTAGAAATTATATCAGAAACCATGGATGGAGTTATGTGCATATCTCTCAGTAGAGAGACTGTTCTTGGGGTAAAATCAGGCAGTGATAATCCTGCAGATGAGTTGAGACTGAAGATGTACACTGAGTGTCTAATTGCAGGAAATGAATAGCAATAGATTTTTTTTTCTATTTACCAAATACTGTCAAGGGAATTCTTTCTTAAAGCTCTGGATTGTTCTTACATGTACTTCCAACTTTCAGTCAGTTATTTCATCTTTCTCTATTGCTATCTGGTCTGGTGCTCCTACTATATATCTAAAAATTCTTGACAAAATTCAAAGAAGGGTCTGTAATGTAATCAATCCTGACCTGGCATCTCAACTTCAGTTACATTCTCACCATCATGACATGGCTTCTCTGTCTTTTCTGCAAATATTTTCATTGCAATTGTTCTGTTGAGCTGTTCTTTTTAGTACCTGAACTGCATGAATTTAAGTGTACTACTAGATTGGTAACCATTTTACTGTTGAGCTAGCTATGTGCAACCGTCAGTTTATTCTAATAGTGACTTTTCTTGTACTTCTAACCTGTTAAACTCTTTTGACTTCTTGCTTTTCCCTGCCAGCTTTCAAGAATTTAAATGCAGCATCAATTGCCATCTTCTGTCTTCCTGCATCCTGTTCCTTTATTGTCATTTTTCTCATTTCTCTTTCACTCCCTGAACCCTCCTGCATCTTAGTGGCATTATCACCTTGCTTGGGATGAAATGATTAAAAAAATAAAAATAACAAAGATGCTTGCAATATAGAATTTTTGGTGAATTATTATTAAAAAAAATTCTGCTTTAATTATTTGAGTTTCTACTTTTTCTGATTTCTTTCTGGTATTTGCTCTGTTTGAACTCAAATGTTTACATTTGTTTTTCTGGGTGTCTTAATTTCATCGATTAAATGCCAAATGAAAAAAAAAATTTTTTGTCCTTTCAATTGAAAAAAAAAAAAAAAAAATGAAAACTACACCCTCCACACTTTTTAACCTTCCAGCTGCTATCAATGAAAATGCTTATTAACTATTTAGGAATGACTTTGAAGATAAAAATTCTTTGTCCTGGCAGTAAATAGAAAAGTGATTCAAAATAATTCATAGATTACATTAAAAGTAGTGGAAAAAATTAAAATATCCATAGATGCTATTAAAGAAAGTGAAAAAAATGTACTAGTTCTAATTTCTTTGAAAAGACTTTATACAAGCAGTGACCTGATATTGCTGGAGTTGATAAGAATTATACTAATATTTATTTTTGTTAGTCTGCAATTAAATAGATGTAGTGAGGCTGAACAGTTAAAGCACGAAACCACTTTTCCCTGCATGTTGTCCTATATACCAACAAAATATCTCATCACTGGTATAACACAATAGTTGACATAAAAAGGAGCAGATCTTATTGTATGCATGTGTGTTGCTGTTGCAAATAGAGAAAACAGAATTAGCATACCACATTAAAATTAAGACCAGGGTTGCTTGTGTTCACTTTGCCTCATAGTCAAATATGTTCATAAACTTTCTTATCACTGGCATGTCATGATGGCTGGCTGACAAAAGGGTGGATAAGTGAGTAGTTAAACCACTTTTCTATAATTACCTCCACCTACCCAGGCAGTAACAACAAAAAGATATTACTTCTGTCATCAAATTAGACACTATCTAATCATAAATGTAGACTAGAATAACAAATTTAATTAGTAATGAAGTTCATTTGCTTTAGTTGATTTCTTCTGACCTTTTTTTATACACCAACATCAAAGTATAGTATCTAGTCTTTTTGCCTCAAAATAAAGAGGCTAATTAATTAGCCTCTCTACTTTGAGGCAAAAAAGGCAATTGCTTCAGCTCTCAGTTTTCAACTTTGGCTTCAAATCCTAAAAATATGTAATAAATTTTCTGTCATTTCAAATGAGATGTCTCTATGTGTTTTACATTAAAACTATTTGTTGACTCTTCAGTGCACATGGATTGCCTTCTTGATTTGAGAGGGAAGAGACTTTCATGATAATGGTTCATGTCATTTTATAAACTTCAAATTACCTGCATGAAAAGTCTTTTGGAATTCTATTTTCCATCTTTGACAGTTTTATCCAATCAACTTTCATAGGCATGAACATATATAGTGCAAAATGTTGCTTAAGTTAAAACCTTAAAAAACAAAATGCTTAGCTGAAAGAATTAAATTAAAAATTCCTAATATCAAATTTCTAGCAGTGCGGTTTTAGTGTCTCAATTTAAGAAGACAATATCATTAAAAATCTTTTCTATTTAGATTGTAATCATCTGAATGCTGTGTTCTAGTGTTAGAGATGTTTTTTAAAATGCTTTCTTTTTCTTAATATGCCTTTCGGAATCTTACATTTTAGTGAATATAAGATGCTTGAATAATATGTTGGATTTTCTTTTATATTATTAATGCAAAAACATGAATATTAAATATGATCAAATTTTTTTGTTTTAAGTTGGTAGTTGGCTTTTACACTTTAAAAATTAAGGTGCTTTTTTATATAAAATATACTTAGATATGAAATGTGAATCAAAATATTTTTAAAATTATTAAACCTATTGAATTATTACAGATGCACTTGAATATTTATTGTAACAAAACTTGGCTGGCTTTGATTTGCTGCAAGTTAGCATCACCATTTTTTTTAACCTGTTAAAGAAATTCATTTTGTACTGCCTTTGAATATGTGATATTTTGTAGAGAAAGGTTATTTTGAATAAAATAGATTTTATACAATTCTTGTTTCTCTCTTTGTTGCTAGTGAAGACTTGTATTTTTTTTTCTTTAACAACAGGCATCAACTCTGGACAAAATGAAAGTTTTTAAAAATACATATAAATTTTTAAAATGTTTAAATAAAAGTTCACAAAATATGTGAAATTCTGCTTAAATACCACCAACAATAAAATTGAAATGTTCAATTAATATCCAATTTTTGTATAACACATAGTAATCTCTTTGTTCTTTACAAATATAACAAATAAAAATCTGCTTATTTTCATGAACTAAAAGATGTGGAATAAATCTTGAGAAATGGAATAATTTTCAGCAAGTACCTCAACAACAAAAAAAATTAAATGGATCACCTTTTTCCTGAAAAAAAAGTAAATCATCTAAACAAATTTTCTGGTAAAAAAAAAAAGTGTTTAACAAGTATAAAAAATGTAGCAAAAGTAATTTATTCAAAAAATAAAAAAATTCCTTAAATAAAATTCATGTCAATTTTAAATATTTGCAAGTGAAACTCAGGCAGGCATTAAACCCATTTCTTGGAAAGACTCGAATATGTGATACAAACTGTTTTCAACAGTTGACTGTCCATATTCCTTTGATAATTTTTGAAGAGAATTTTCAGAGTCTGCATCTTTTGAATTCTCAACAATATTAGATGTCTCAGCCTAGATAAAATAGAAACATTTCTCAATTGTTTTTCAGAAAAAAAAGAAAAAAAGAAGCCTATTTAAATATGAAAAAAGATAGAAATATTTACTGTTTACAAAAGTTCAGAAATTATTTTCTTAAATAATTATAGGACAGAAAAGTTTTGCTTTTTAACAGCTTGATGTTATATTCAAATTATCCCAATTAATTATTATTTATTTCATTCATTCATTTAATAAATATTGTAACTTATTTGATAAAAGTCTTTATTAATAAACTGACTGAGATTGTAGACACTGAAGAAATCAGTTTTAACAAAAACAATCATCAAATACAATTAGTCTCTCTCTCTCTCTCACCCCTACAAACCAATTTTCAATGTTATTTCTTTTTATTAAAATAAGCTTGAGGGAAAATTTCTTTTTGTCAACCTAAAATCTTAAATTTAAGTTGTTTTTTTTTTTCGTACACTAATTGCAGAAACAATTAAATGAATTAAAAAGAAATTCCAGACAGTGTTAATAATAGTCATATTACCTTAAATAAATCTTTGGGTGGTGATTTTGGTCTGCTTGACTCTGCATTCACAAAATGCAGCAATGACTTGTTAGACACAAGTTCTAATCTGACATTTGGTTTGTGTGCAAAAACAGGTTCCAATGATATTTTCACCTGAAGGCAATAAAAACAAAAACAAAAATAAAGAAAAATTTAATAAAAGACATGAGTCTGAGTTTTACAGTTATTATTGTGGATCCGTTATTTAAACGCTACATTAATTCTAAAGTGTTTTTATATGTAAACAGCTTCATGAGGAAAACAATTAATCCTTGGCAACAAATATTATCTCAAGAGAAAGATCCAAAGACTAAAATCAGAAGTGTTTACTTAAATGACAACCTGTTAAAGTAATCCATCATATCACAGGTAGAATTTATTAAATGGATACATCCAGCAGTGGCATCCTAAATTTCCAGGATCCAGTTCTATAAAGGCAGGTAATCTTTAGGAACCTATTCTGCCTATTTTCTTTTCAATACTTTCTAGTATGAAAAAGAATGAAACCATTTTGCTAATAGAAAACATTTATTTATTAAGATATTTCCAGACTGAAATTCTCATCATATTTCTCTTCAGAACTATGATGCTTTTTGATTCCTGTATCATCAGCTGTGTTATGGTTTCTTAGCCTCATTCAAACTGAATTGCTGCAGTCCCAAAGATCCAATTGAAGACCTCTCAAATTTATGAGTAGAAGATTTGCCACATTTTTTTCACTAGGTACACACACAAGTATAGCGTAACTAACATTTTACCTAGACCATCAGCTATTAATATACAAGATTATTTTCAAATAATCCAACAACCAGTTCACTAAGCTTTTATAATTTTAAGAATCAGTTTGTGTGAACTGGTAAGATGTCACCATTGGATACATCAAAAGTAACATTTACTGTAATGATTAGATATATAGTGATACTGCAAATTCTGGTAGATTAGAGGGAATAAAATAACCATGATTGTATTTAACTTGAACCTTACAAAATTTCAGCCCTTTCTTTTTAATACCCACTGACTTGATCACTATTCTACTAATTCCTGGTTTAGATTTAGTTATTCTCTGAACTAAATATTTCTGGCATGAAAAAGAATTTAACAATTAAGCACAAAATTTTGCAATTTTTATTTAAAATCAGTTTTAGTAAATTTTGGAAAAAGAACTTAAAGATTGTCGGGAATTAAAGCAAGCATTAAAAAATATTGCTTATTATTCTACAAAGCCTTAAAGATTTGATTAACACATTTTAGGCAACAACTTTCGCAATAACAATGGCTTGCCTCTAGAGTTTTATCTAATTTGATAAACGATAATAGGAAATTAATTTTCCAATTTGATTCAGTAACTTACTGTTATATGTTGAAATAAAGTAAAACAAAGTTGCTTTCCTATCCTGCTGATCACAGTGACATGATTTTCACCTCTGGTCACTGCACCATGTGTCCATTCTGCCACCTCTTTGCCTGCAGGAATGTGTAACACTTTGCCTTCTTTGTTCTTTACATAGACAGGAGCCTTCAAACCATACCTGAAACATATAAACAAACACACACACACACACACACATTATATATAGATACCTGCATCATCCTTTGCACAAAAAAAAAAAAACACTGTCTGATCTGTCATGCTTTTACTCAGTTACAAAAAGAGCTTCACAATCAAGCAAAGTTTTATGTGTCTTTAAAGCACACTCACAAGGTAAACAAAGCAATTTTTTAAGAAATAGTGGATTTTATTTTTAATCAGACATATTTTTTTGTTACTTCAATTTATTACTTGAGAATCTACCCACTAAACATAACATTTGAAGTAATAAAAATATGTCTGACCAAAAAATAAAATCCATTAATTCTTTAGAAATATATTCATGTACAATTACATTTTTTAAATTGTACTAAAAACAGGACATGCATATGAATTACTAAAATTTTTACAGCAAAATCGTGCTTGCAATATAATAAGAGTGCTTCAATAAGACAAAACATTATATGTTAGTTAAATTTTTAATAAAGATCTTAAAAATGTAATCTTATACTGTATGTAACTATCCTCAGGATATTGAGTACTGGGTATAAAACTCAACAATAAACTGTATTTAATTGAAATTACATGACATTTCAATTATGTAATTTTATATAATATTCAAGTTTCATTAAAAACGACAGACATGATGCTGTGTGTGACATGATCCTGGTCACAGCACCAAATGTGACATCACCCCACGGCCTCTCTCTGCCCCCGTGCTATCCTGTGACAACCAATGTGACTTGGTATTGGTCACAGCACCAAATGTGACATTCTAACCCTTGGCTGATTCAGATGGGAATCTGGTTAGATTCGGTATCTGCTTTGTCGTTCCCAGCTCGCTTCCATCTGGTTACCGAAGTAACTGCTTTGATTTCTAGTCTAACCTACCCACGTTGTGATTTGATCTTAGGTAGACGAAATCAATCAGTCGCCGGGCCGTAATGCAAGCTGAATTTGAGCAAAGGTGACATCGCACAAGTATATGTAAAAGAAAATAAAGTAACAACTCGAAAAGTTCAAATGTGTTAAAAAAAGAATAACAAATATTTTTAAATCTGGTTGCTGAATACAGGACTGCATCTTTCTCCCAACCCGCTTCTATGGATTTGTGACACTTTGTGTTTGTTAGGTGAGTCTTAATATCTTAAGTTGTTTTTCGATAACTGGTTTTTTGTATCTTCAGGTGATATTTGTAAAACTTGTTTTGGTGGTGTGAGTCTAAGTCGATCTTCAAAAATAAATTGTTTTTGGTTAGAAGTCGAAGTCAGAATGCGTAGATCTTCAGTCAGCTTCCTGCGAGGGTGGTCTCAGAGCTCACAGCTCAACTCTGTCTGCGTCTGTGTCTCCTCAGAACTCTACTGAACTCTAACTCGCTGCGACTCTGTTTATATGGATGCCAACCAAAACCAGGTGTGGGCTTGTCGTGGTTTGGGTTCCTCGATAATTCTAAATCCACAATAAGGATTTTCTTTGTTTTCGGACAGGAAAATTTATCACTTTCCATTTTTGGAAGTCCATTACTTTCTGCTTTAGAGGGGTTCTTAAGGGAATCGTCCTCCCAAATTCTTCCTTTCTCATATTGGTATCTCACACCAATTCCCTTAGAGGGTGTCAACAGGTTTCCCTTCTCTCTCTCAGTGGTATCTCACACCAATCTCCTCAGAGGCGTCAACAGGCCTCCCTTCCTTCTCATATGTTTACCTTCGCCCATTGCTCACGCCACCATTCAGCCAATGAACGCTCAGCAGCATGGGTGTTTACAATTATCGCTCAAAGGAAAAAAAAAATTATCTTCCTTTTTTCTTTTCTTTCATTTCCTACTCCAGACCCCTATGACTCATAGTGTGGTCCTTAATCTCTATCTTAACCGAATGTCATCTGGAATTTATCAACGAGATTTTCACCAGCGTCAAATGGGTGGTCAACTGGATGTCTTCACAACCTGTCGCCAATTATCTGTCCCGGTAACAAACTTTTATCATGTCCAGATCTGGACAATAAAACAGGTGGTCTCTTTCCAAAAACAAATGATATCTCCGAAAGACAGTTAATGGTTTATTCTTTCCCTTTCTCTCTGGGGTGGCCTCAGCTGATGCCTTTCTCGATCAGTGCGTGACCTGATTACGATTATCTTCCAGCTTCTGTTTTGTAAGCCACTTGACCAATTTGAAATTTTCATTATTGCCATGGGCAGATTGCTATCATTTATTCACTGCATCATAGCATAAATTAATTCCGACAGATCCGAGATCTTACGAATTTCTTATCTTCTGCGAAAAAAATACTTTTCTTCACAAATGAAAATAAAATCTTTACCTCTTTTCTTTGTTAAAAAAAAAAAAATAACATCGCTCAGTATGTCTTTCGTGATAGCTTCTTCTCGCCTTAATTATTTCTCGCTTTTAATTTTCACGCGACCACTAAATAGTGTCACACGTGGTTAAGATTTTTATACTTTCCTTGTTGGCTGCTGTACCATGTAATTTAAAAATTGTGTATTTGGGCAGTAATCCTTCTTAAAAAAACTTAACCAGGACACCTTGTCAGTTGTTTTTAATGAAAGTTGCATAAAAGTAAGATTGCTGCCCAAATGCACACACATACACACACATATATAAGTGAACATTGAAGTCAACACTCAGAGGCAACAGGCTGTTTCATGCTGGACGCAATTGGCGGCCTGGTGATTGCATCCAGCATGAAACTGTCGCCTCTGAGTGTTGACTTCAATGATCACTTTTATATTTACAAACGCTCTATCTCTGATACTGAGCACTATTTTGTAAAAATAAAAATATCTATAAGAACACCTGATTATATATCTTACTGTTCTTTCTTTTTATTTATATATATATATAATGTGTGTATTTGGGCAGCAATCCCACATGAAAAATATCAATAAATTGTCAATAATAAACTGTTATTCAAAAGAGATCTTCCAAGCAACACTGGGTATCCCCACTAGTTATAAAAATAAATAGACATAATATGTCTATATTATTCAATAAAACATGCTTGAATATATATTCTAAAACACTATATTTACACACAAAATAGACTTGGTATCTATTTTAAAAATGATATAAAATCATCTAAATATAAAATTTGATAATAGTTGACATTATTGAATTTTAAACTTTTTGGAGAAAATGTTTTGCAGAGCTTAAGATGGAAATGATATAGTTTATTTAAAGGTTTCATATCAAGTGTCAGATCAATGCAATTATTATAATTGTTCTCTTCTTGGCATTCATTAGATTCTCTTAAAGCACACAGTAATCTAGGATTTATGTGAATCTGAATCCTCATCAAAGATCAAAATATTAATTCATATCATCCATAGAATAACAGAAACTCAAACAATAAATGCCAATACTTCTGACTTGTGAAAAGTTACTTTTGAGACTGTATATTCATTCTAAAATAGTCTCTTGTGTTTTATCAAATATATGAATGCATGTGTAGAACATGACATTTAATCCAGGAGTTTAAATCATTGCTCCAATTATTTTTGTTGTTCCTACAATCAGTTAAAGCCTTCCTCAGGTGTACAGTTCAAGAACAAATTAGCTGAAACTCATCTCGAAATTAAAAAAGGTATTTTTAATATAGATTATTTAACTGAGAAAGGTCTAAGAACAGATTGGCTGAAACAGTGTGTAACAACACAAAACGAAAAAAAAAAAAATCAATAACCCAACCAACACATTGACGGAATATGATGATTACAAATGTAATAAGTGATAAACATTTGAATGGGTTCAAATAATTAACATTTTGTGCTGACTGGAAATATTCTATTACATACAAATGTAAGAGAAAATTAAGACATTACTTACCTGGGTAAGAAAACCACAACACCATTGGCTCTCAGTTGAACAACAATAGCATCAGCCACAAAAATATCACTGTCTGCAGAACGATCTCGAAAGAAGAAAGCCTGGAACATTTCTTGGGAATCTCGTTGGGCATTTTGTGCTGCCTGTGATTTTAAAAAATATTGTTAATGTGATGAAAAATAAGACAATTACAAAGGTTATTAAAAAATGTATCATAAGTAGAAAAAAAATACAAACCTTGTTGATATAACAGCACAAACCTTTTAAAACAGCTTTTATTTCAATATATCCATATATATACAAATCATATCCAGAATTCTACATAAGGTTAATTTAATAGACATTGCTAATCATGAACCTATATTTTTGAAAGTTTGAATTTCTGCTGTTACATGATAGTAACCCCAGTTTCTCCTATTCATCCATGTCAGTTCAAGATCTAAGCCTGTCACAAGATTCTTCCATGTTACATTGATTCATTCATTTTCTATGGGTTATCAACCTTTGTAGGTTATTTAAAACCAGAAAATATTTTTACAATTTGGGCGGGGGGGGTAATAATGATTTAACAAGTCTTACTAATTAAGAGGTGGATTCATAGCTTTCCCAAGGGTATTAGTACACAAGTTATCTTCAATCAACAATTCTGAGCCATTATCCATTACACTAACTGCAAATCCAAGCTTACAGAACCTGGTATTTCTAAGCAGTCAAACCATCTAGGTACTGACCAGGCTGAATATTGCTTAACTTCTGTGATCATCCATGTTACAGTAAGTTTTCAGTTGTGAGTGTTGATGGTAATTCCAATCATCTCAGCTGCTGGAACATGATTGAAAATCAATCACTCAATTGACACATTGAGTTTTCATCCTTACTTTTATTGTCATAAATCTTGCCACAGTAGTTAGCAAAATATCCAAATAGCAATACAGTTATAAGTTGGTGAAACAATATGATAAGATACTTCCCATGACAACAGAACACCAGAATACAATTTTTAAGATATCTATTACTGTAAGCAATACTTGATTAAAGCATTAGTCATAAATTAAAAGTCATCTGGTTTTGAGTCAAAATAGCAATTTTTATTTTTGGCATCTTAAAATTTATATTACTAAATATCTGATTTCAGCTTCAAACTGCAGCCTGAATGTTCCCAAACTTTCTTGGTCTATATGATGATCACAAATAAACTATCAGAGAACATTAAGTTTAGTCTCTAAGTTCAAGCTTCAGGATTGAACAATGACCTAAAAGGTTAAAGAATTTGTTAGTGAATTTGATGATATAATAAAAGATCTGAAAAATATTAAGCAACTTACTCGATGTTTTTGATTCATATGATCACAAAGATCTTGTAGTTCCTGATTATTCAATAATGTCAAACCACCATCATCTTTAGTGCCGATTGCAGCCAACAATTGACGATGGACCTGTCCAAGATAATAATATACTTAAAAAAATTAGGAAGAAAATGGGAACAATTTAAGCATTCAAATTTCATAGCTATAAAATCTTTCATGAAAACAATCAGACAAATGACCTTTTATTAGTCATTTTTTTGTATTCATTTTAACATATTTTACTTTTGCTTTCAAGATTTAGTTGAAATCTAGAGAATGCAACCAACAGTATGCCTTTTTGTGTCTACATACTGAAAATGTGGCCAATATATTTCTGTGTCAAAGTACAGGAATGTGGTCAATAATATGATGGTGCATCAATAAGTCCATAGCCTGACACAGTTATTAACTGAATTTTTATCTGAAATATTCTGTGAATAATGTCAATCTATGTGATTATTATTAATCACTGAATTAAATGCATTGAAAAGGAAGAAATTTATGTTGGAAAATATTCATTGTACAAAATAAATGCTTTTTTCATCATAAGGCTGCAAAGTTATTGATGCATGAACATAGATTTAGATATATAAGATGTAACCAACAACATAACTATATCTTAAATTTCCTAATTTTTAAAAAGAATTTAATTATTATCCATATCCAAAGAATTTTGAATTAATCTAACAGTAATTTATCAATTGTTCATCCATCTGTAGAGTTAAAACTTTACCAGTCCTGACCCGATATCAACCAAATTTTCCTAAAGGTTACAAATCATCCACGAAAAGGTTTTAAACTATAAAGACAGGATTATTTGATTTTTCCCTGCTCAAAATCAAACTGCTCCTGATGCCAATAAAATTTTAAGCCTTCGCCACCATTAATTTAAAGGGAAATAACTACGTACAAATAAACATTTGTGGTGACGCAGACTTCACATTTTAACTGTTTAAATCAGAGCTTTTTTCATTCATGATGAAATTTTTCATAACCCCAGGTATTAACCAACTACACTAAAAATACATACGTTGTCACTGCACTAGTCACAAAGGCACTGTACACGCGTTTTATTACTGTGGCGCATCACGTTAAATATTGTAGGTTTGTGAAATAATCTAACAGTAATCTAATTTAGTAATCTAACAGTTTTGTTTCTATTAACCATTAAGTCATCCTGAACTTTCATATTATTGAAATGATGACCAATAATAAATAGATAATACAAAGTGTCATAAAATACCAACTTTACTGCATTTAATATAAATATTTAAATGGTTAACTACAGAAATAGAAACTGTAGTCCTTTATACATCATATGCCAAGGGCTTTGGATAATAATTAAATGTTTATACCAAAAATAAATAAGACAAATAGTAAGGCATTCAACAATTGCTTGTTCTAATTTGTCCAGGAAACAGACTCACAAGAATATCAGCATATCTCCGAATGGGTGAAGTGAAGTGTGTGTAGACATCAAGAGCAAGTCCATAATGAAAAAATTGGTCTCTGTTGATTGATCCTGTAGAGAAGTAAGCAGCTTGTGACATGGCTTGTACTGCCATCATTCGAAGAAGCTGTCAAAGATTTAAATAGAATGTTTTTTTTAATTAAAATGACAAATACAAAAATTATTTATAAGAAACATGAAAACATTATATTTAGGAGTACAGGTTTGTTAAAGAAACTTTAACAAGGAATGCAATATTTATGCTCAGGATGATAACAGAAAGAGCAATACAAATGCAAAGGGATATATACCTATGTTTTATAGATTATGCAAAAGTGTTTGATAAAATACTTCATAAAGAAATGTTGGAAATGCTAGGGTATGAGAGAGATGGAAAAAAGACAAAACATATTAACATCTACAAGGGACACAAAAATGTGGAGAGCCATGATTGCCAACATCGTGAAGTGACATGCCACATAGAAGAAGCGTGATAAGAAGCACTTGATTCACAAAGATTATATGAAATAAAGATATCAATTTATCAATAAAGATATCAATTTGTTCAGCATAGTCCCACTTGTAACAAACCATAAAATTAATTTTCATTATTTTCACAATAAAAATAACATGACCATTACATGGATCGTTTAATGCAATAAAAATTCAATTTTATGCACCCCAAGTTAACAGAAATTCAGATGTAACATGATAATTATGTTTCCATTTCATCATTTTTGTTAATATTTTTTCTTATTTAGACTTGAACATCAATTTAGTGTAACCCAGCTTTTTTTTAATTACATTTTACAGCCCTCAACAATTATAATTGGGTCATATTATATCATCACAATATTTTTTTGTTGGATTTTTTAGCTGAAAACTTGCCATTGTTATGCACTTTGCTATTCAGAGAAGCATGATCATCTTAATTGTTATACTCATAATCTTTTGGCCACTATACCTCCATGTTTGACCTTCTTCAGGTGTCTCTTTTTAAGTAATCTTCATGGAGTTTTGAATCAAGAACTTTATTCAATCCACAGAAGAAAATTGTTCACATTCTGCTTTCCATGTTTAGGAGAGATAACTCATATCAGCTAATACTCACCCTTCTTATATCCATTTCTTTCCTTGAACCAGAGTATATGACTTTTTCAGCACCACCAGAACCAGGGATTGAACTTCTGATTTAAACTACAAAGCTATGTGAAGATAAGCGTTGTGAGTATAACAACCAAAAAGGATTATGCTGGTCCAAATAGCAAAGCATATAATAACAACTTCATATTTTAACTGCCCTGACTTTCAACCTTCATCAAATGTCATATCTGATAACTTTAAGGATACTTTCAAAATATAACCTTTTTTTTTGCTTAAATGTTTTTAGAAAGTGTTCTACTTATAAAATTGGATGTGATACTGAGGCCATGAAGTGGTTAATATTAAGTATAGGCTGGAAGAGAAAGAGAGACTGGAAGACATTTTCCCTGCTGATGGAAAGTGAGAGCTATCTGAGTTTTCTCTCCATTACGAATTGGGATGATGCACCCAAGAGTTTATTTTTTTATCTATTGAGGATCTGGCATGTGGTGAAATGAATTGTGGAAATAATTTTATCTCTCCCTCAGAATGTTAAATGACAACATATAATTCTTCTTAAAGGCTGATGTATGTTAGGACGGAAGTTATGAAAACAAATCCTGTCGTTGGTAGGCAAGAGAGTGGTCGGGTTTATATTTTCACTGGACAGAAATAAGTCCAGGGAAATAGAAAGGAACCAGAGAATTAAAATTAAGACTAGAATAAAACACCACCTTTTCACCTATATACTTTAAAAATTAGATTCATCACAAAGGCAATTGTGCCTGTCCTTGGAAGTAGGCTGAAGTTGAATGCTAAGAGAATAGGAGGAAGAAGGAGAATTTAGCACCACCTGTATGGAGTGAAGGTAGGAGATGTAAAGTGAAGCAAGTTGGATTTGCGGGGAGGAGCAATCCCTGTGACTACGCCCAAGGAAGGTGGATTATTCTCCAAATTTGGAAAGGTGATTAAGAAAGCAGAAACAGGGGACAAAGAACCCTTGTTGGGATTAATGCGATAATTAAGTAATCACTGAATCCCCAGAACACATCTGTCAACTTCCAATTCTGATCCTGGATCACGGCTACCAAATGTCACCCTCAAGTCCCTCCCTGGTCGTTCAAGTGTCCAATACCCACGGCTGATCAATAAGGTGATCGCTTCAATCCAGGCCTTGCCTTATACCACATTGTGATTAGTTTTAATCATAAGGTTGGCCAGGATCAAATCGTCATCAGGTATCTTCATTCTGGGCTGGTTCAAGTGGAATGAAGACACAAGAAGGAAATAATTTGGATAAGAAAAAAAATAATATATTTATATAAGTTCTTTTGTATAATAGTTGGTTAGTTCATTATCAAAGTCTAGCAATTCACATGCAGACATTTATTGACCCAACCCGCTTCTTAGGTTAGACATGATATTTTACTGGCTTGATGAAGTTTGGCACAAGGCTGATGTCAGAGGTTCTCTTCAGACAGGCAGTCACATGGGGTGTTTCTTGTCCGGTGTCTGGAACAATCTGTCTTTATCACTTCAAGCCATTCGAATTTATTGACATTCACCTAAAACTGGTGTGGGGGGGGAATTCATTATTTTCTTTACCTTTCATAAAGATCCCTTTCTGCTGTCTAGGTTCTGAAAATTAATTACTCCCCAATTTGGGAGATCCACCTTTTCCATGGGTAGGGATCCGCCAAACCCACAACTTCTTCCTTCTCTTATTAGCAATCTCCCGCCAACACTTCTCAATGGATGTGGGTAGCTTCTCCACTTCCTTCAGTGTTCCCTCTGCACCTGCTACCTTCGCTATTCCTCGACCAATGGCTTTTAACTGCTTGGCATGGTTTAATCCAAAGATCATTAATCAAAAGAATTATTTCAAACTTGCTGCCTATCCAGAATTTCTATGCACTGGTCTTTTTCATCTTTGTTTTAGATACTGACCACATGGCTTGTTGCACTCAGCTTGTCAGGACCATTCCACCAAAACTTTATCTTCGAATTTTGGTTTTAAATCAAATCTCACCCATATCTCATACTTGTATTTTGGGTAATTAATACATTTAGGGACGATCATCAATCAACTGTCAGAATATCACCACATGGCCCTTTCGTAAAAATATTGCTTTAAGCAACCTTTTCGGTTTCTTGAGAATTAGGCTTTTTGAAGAAAGAGAATTCTTCATTCTTTCTCACAGTATATTTATCATTCTATTCAGCCTTATTATTTACCAGTGTTAAACAGTGTCACACATTGGCCTCACTCTGGTTATGGTCTGAAATGCATATAGGCAGACAGATTTGAGAGCAAAAGAACTTAGTGCCTCTAAAATCCATATGAATTAGCCACCAGATTTCCTGACATTGAAGAACTTTGAACACAACTCCTCCAGAATTTTTTACAAGGCCCAATATCTCTAAAGAGATTGATGCAGGAAGGGTTAATTTTTGTTGTACCAAGAACTACATAAACCATTTGAAGACTGACCCAACAAATCTTTTGTTCTTATTTTTAATTTGTGAAGATGTTTATTCCCTTAATATAGCTTCCACCACAGTTCAACCCAGCACTTTGATTACTACAACATCTGATCTTTCACTGCTTTGTGATCAAGAACACAACATGGGCAGAGTGGGTGTAGATCAAAACAGCCTACGACCAACAGCCAGCTTAAACCAGTGTCACTACTGTCCAGCACAGGGTTAGCCCTGTGGTTAACATATTGTCCTAAGACCCTGAGGACTGGACCACTAAGTGTAGTTACACCATTGGGTGTAGGCAGCATGAAAAGGCATTATAGCCTTATCGAGATTAATTTCCTCATCTTTTGTGTTATTTTTTATCACTGTTCAGCTACAAGATCTGCAAGTAGACTAATGGCTAACAGCATGAAAAATAAAGATGAGAAAATCAATTTGTATAAACTAGTATTATGAAAACCAGTTTTGAAAACTTACTTTAGTATATTGTTCTAATTCCTTCTACTGAGATTGAACCAAAGTTTTATTGTTGTTATTAAGTTAAGGCAGTGATTCTCAACTGCCATGCAGTAGTACTAGTAAAACATATAAATATTTTAAGTACTTATTCTTTAGGAAATGCAACTAATAGAAACAGAATACCAAAACACCCACACATAAAGAATAAACTTTAATGAATAATGTAAATATGAAATTTGTTGATATTACACAAGAGAATTTATGAACACCAAGATATTTGAAAATAATTCTAAATTTATAAATTCTAATGAGATAGACCTAAATTCATTTTAAACCTAAATGTAATCCTGTCACTGGTAAAATGCTTTATTTCTTAACTTTTATCAATTCTAATGGGGAAAAATGACTTAAAAATACCTGTTGTTAATTTCTTTAAATAATACAAGTTGTTTGTTACAAAATACTGCTGGGATATTTTTGTCCTGTCCTTAAAAAAACATTGATTTTAAAAACACATTGGATCAAAATACTAGTTACTGAATGTCTTAACACATGTAAATAGAAAAAAAAAATTTCTGAAAAAGTTGTTTGGGCAAAAAAGAAAATAAGAAATACAGTTAGAAAATGTATCTTTCCTAAAAAGTACAATCTTAACCTCTTCAAATAAAAGGGTCAATTTTATCTATCCCCTATATCAGTTATGGGAAAACTGCAGCCTGCGGATCATGGGTGGCATGTTTGGTCTTTCTGAATGGCATGCTTAATTTCATAAAAAAAAAAAAATGAAGTTTCTTAAAATTTTGTTCCATTTCATTTTCATTTGTTCACTCATACATAAACAATGATTAAGTACAATGTTTTTTGAATTTTGTAAACTTTCAGTGAAATAACATTTTCATCATTTTAAACCATTGGCTATTTTCACTAAGGGAGATCATGTGTAAACAGATTTTGCTTTTGAAACAAGAAACATTCATAATTTTTTTCTAAAGAATAAATTATGTTTTTATTTTCAAATGAATAAATTAGAAATAAATCACGCACAGTGATATGTGTTATTCAAACTGTCATCATTCAAACTGTCATTAAACCAAGACTTCAATTTTTTAATTATAGAAAAATCATTTCTCAAAAAAAAAAAAAAAAAAAAAATTTTCCCTCCATTTCTAAGGTATATGCATACACATATGGCCTTCTGTAATGAAAATAGCTGAGGTATCTACTACAAAAAAAAACATTGAATCTTTTTTAGTAGTGCAACTTACCTCATGATGAGCCATAGATCATGCAGCCCACTGCTTGACAAAGGTTTCCTATGCCTACTCTATATCCTAATAATCTTCACTTCCTACCACTTCCTCTTTCATTCATATCATACACATCATTCATCATTACCATTTTAACAGTAACCTTCTACCTTGAGTGGCTATCAAGTCTTGTATTAAGTAAATTCTAGTACATAAAAAAAGGTAAATACTATTTTGATAAGTAATTTCAATTTATGTCTGCAAATAGATTTACACTTACATACTGTTCTTAGCAATTTAAAAATCTCTTCAACATTAACACAAGAAAACTAACAATTTACAAAAAGGCCCAAGAAGTTGATGAAAATAAAAGTTCACTCACTCTGTTCATGAAAACATCATTGGCATCTACACATTTGTCAAGAGAATCAGCTAAAGCTTTACTCGAACTTGTATCAATAGTAAATCCCTGAGAACTCGCACAAGCCACCAAGTTGTCAAAGAATTCCTGTCTAGGTAGAGGATGGTGACGTAACTGAAATACAAAAAGTATAAGATTAGTAGATTTCTTTTTATTTCTACTCATATCAAATATATAAAAATACCAACAAATAAATTAGTCACTGATAAGATTTGACTCTAAAACTTTTTTTCTCTCAAGACCACAACTGGCCAAGTTGAAATCACATCAAATTATTTTTTTTATTTAATGCTATTGAATTGAAAAAAAATGGATTAAATCAAACAGAATGATTAAATAAAGAACAAATAGGAAAATTTTTATAAATTTGAAATGTTTTGCTTTTTAGTTTCATCACATTTCCAAAAAATATATGAAGCTAAAATAATAAAATCAAAACATTTATAAACATTTTCCTATCCATTCCTTATTTGATGCTATTATAAAGTTTCTATTTGCATTAACTCAACCACAAATATACTTTGAGAGTTGGCTTTATTTTTGAGATTATCAAAAACTAAACTCAGTTTCTATGTACAATAATAAGACAATTTAATTTTAACTCTTCTGATTACAAAGTAAATTAAAATACATTTAAACAACAGATGTGCATGTAACACGGTGTTTATAGAAAATGGAATCAGCAGACTAAGTTCAAATTCTGGCCAAGGTTGTTGCATTCACTTTTGCACTTACAAAAGATATAAATCCATCTCTTCTCACCCCAGCTATGGGTTAAATAGCAATGCAGCAACCATTCTAAGAGAAGAACAACTCTGAATTCAAAACTGGCAACAGTGCTGGAACTGGCACAATGGCCTGCTCACCAAACCAGCTGGGTAGTGATATTTAATGGTTAAAAAAAGCAAAACTGCTTAGACCAGCAGAGCTAAATCAGCACTTGACAGTTTGGTCAGCCAAGGTGATAAAGGGAACCTAATAACACGTAACTCCTCTCTTCACCTGAATAATGGTATCTATGAGTCTACAAGATGCTAGAGTTATTACATGGGCTATTCAGACATGAACCAGAACTGATATGATTTCAAAGAGCCTCCATCACCTGTCTATATTTCTGTAATGAGGTATTGTAATTATTTTATTGTTCCAATCACCTGAAGAAGGCCAGAGCATACAATGTCCAAAACATCATGAATATGACAATAATGACAAGGACAACAGTCCAAACAATGTAAATAGGCTTCATATTCTTGGAATCTTCTACAGGTTTAAAAAAAAAAAAAAAATTGACATTTCTATAGAAATGAAGTGCTTTTTTTTAATAAAGTACTCTCATAGAAGAATTAATGTTTTCTTTAATCACCCTGTGCATATATATATATATATATATAAGTAACAAATCTCTGGTGAAATAAATTATAACTAATGGAACCTTAATGTGGTCTGTGTTTCTTTAAATTATATATATATATATATATATATATATATATATATATATATATATATATACTAGCAGTAGAGCCCGGCGTTGCCCAGGGATGTAACAGTAAGAGATAGATCAAGTATCGACCATCATAAAGAGTGAAAAATAAAATTGACAAAGATTATTGTTCAAGGTTGACAGACACGCATGTCTTAATTAGTTTTTTTGTTTTTTTTTTTTTTACGAATTGGTCAAACCCAAACTCCAAACAAAAACATTGTTTTCAATCGTTATGAGTCTACCGATTGAATAGAATTTTATTATAAACAATTGTCTTGTAATTGGAATTTTTAAAGCATTCTGAATGTAAAAATAAAGAAAAAAGTGTGCAAGAAAATAAGAAACACTACCTGCCAAAAAAAAAGTGAAGTTTTGTTGAAATCGGTTGAAAAATGTAGGAAATTCGATCCCATATATAAAGGAACACACACACAAACAACCTGGGTTTTTAAGTATAACTCGATATGAGTTGTCGCCCTTTCATTCTCGCGATGCCTCTTAATCGTGTTTTCAAATTGATTTCATTTTTCCAATTTTTGGTGCTGTCAGAACCACCACAAGGTAATTTTACGTAGTCCTGTGAAGTTTTGTTGAAATCGGTTGAAAAATGTAGGAAATCCGATCCAATATATAAACGTACAGACACACACACACAACCTGGGTTTTATAATAAGTATGATATATATATATATATATATATATATATATATATATATATATATATGGGTGAAAATGTTCATATATCAGGTATAGAGCATGTGTAAATGTAAAAGTGGACACTGAGGTCAATATATATTATATATCACACACACGCACATTGCATTTTACATGTAGGAATTAAAGAAAGTCACTTAATTAAAAAGATCATAAAGTATAAAAAATAAAAATCAGTCTTACCAATGAATGGTTAGGAAAAGATGAAGAAATTTTTCGGGCTACCCAATGATTGGCCAAAATCATACACTCTGCAACTGTATCATGGATTTCCAGATGCTAAAAAACAAGGTTGCATTGTTTTCTTCAAAGGTAAACTTTCCAGTTTAGATATAATTTGCAGAATTTTACACAAGAAGAGTTCATAGACTAAAATCGAAGTCAACAATTAATATGACAAAATTACTTACTTCACTGAGAATAATATCATCAATGTTTTTATCCTGGTTTATAAGAGCTCTAGTTTCCATGCCATCAAGTTCTAGGGCACCACGTTGCTTCCTGTTGGCCTTTAGAGTACGGGAAATCTGCATCAGAGTACATATGGCTTCGCGTAGCTCCACTACACTGAAATAGCAATTATTATAATAGAAAATTTAATTCAACTATATTGTGTTGCCTCTTTAAAAAAATTAAAAAAATAACAGCATCTAATAACAACTGAGAGTCCCATGTCTGCAGCTGTAGTAACAGTGGTGTGTCATGGGCAAGATAGTTTCATTGAGCCCAACTTTCACGAAGCTGGTGTGAAATTAGAGTTTTCCTTCTCCTAGACTGATTGTGAATCAAGGCAATAGGGCCCAGTTTGTTATGCTATTTACCAATAGCTAGGAGAAGAAGTGATGGATTCATACCTTGCCCAAATATAATGACTCAACTGGAACTCGTACTTGGCTCTCCAATTTCTGATTCCAAACATCTATCCCTTACACTTCCGTGCATCTTCATCTTCATTTACTTCCATCAAAAAACAAAGTAGAACAATTAAAGAATTGCTGAAGTTAAAAAAACCATCAATCTACAATTTCTACAAATATTATTTTTTATAGAATATAGTATATACAAGTTCCAATCAAAAAGCATTGGGACTGGTGCTATAAAAAGAAAATTACAACACATCAATTTGGCATTTAATTTCCTTCGAAGGAGCCCCCTTCTGAATTGACACACATTATCCAGCATTGTTTCCATTGATGGAAGCCTTCCTGGAACTCCTTTGTTGGAATAGCAAGCAGCTGTCTCATCACATTCTCTTGGATTTCCTCAATGTCTTGAAATCTTGTTCTTTTAAAGTGTGATTTGATTTTTGAAGAGGAAAACTTTGCAAGGTGCGAGATCTGGGGAATATGGTGATTGTCAGACATGGGGAAACTGCTGCACAAGCCTTGGTCATTGATGGAACTTCTGTAGTGTGGTAAGATGACCACACTCTACAAACCTTCCTTCAAAGTACTGCTAAAACAACAGAAGTGAGCGAAAATGTCATTCATAACTTAGTATGCATATACAACAGAGTTAAAGGTCAATCTGTGCCAAGCAGTTTCACCCTGTATACATTAGCTCTGTTACCATAGCAACAGTCTCAATACTTTTTGATCAGACCACATAGAATTATTGGATTATAGAAACAACTTTATCTGTAAAACAGGGTCTTTAAAATATTATATATAACAATTATTAATAATATTCAAATAAGTTTTAATTTTTAAACTTCATAATCAGGATAAACTTGCCTGTTTTATGTAAATGTGAGGTTTGAATAAATTCAGAATTTTATATATTTTAACCATTATTCTCACACTACTATCAAACCAAATTATAGTTATTTTTTTTATTTTTTAATAAAAATGTTTTATTACACAATATTTACAGATAATTTTCTTTCAATTTACAACCAATATTTACAGACAATATCTTATCAGTTTGAAACCAATATTACATGAAGAATAACATATTTCCAGACAACCTAGTTTTTTGTTTCGCCAGATATTAATTTTCCAAGAAACTGGAGCAGAATAAAAACAGAAGTTTGGTCATTTAGTCAGATTTTGGTAAGTGTGTTAGACTAAGAAATTTTCAGTACCTCCTCATATATAGGTACATCAATAAGTCCACAGCCTAATGATGAAAAAGCATTTATTTTACACAACAAATATTTATTTTTCAACATATTCTCATTCTTCATTAAACATTATACAGTGAAAATTTCAGATCTAAATTCATCAAACTACATGTTGGACAACAGATTTATCAATCTGCTCTCATATACTAACCGCTTGTGTGCTAATTTTTGGTCTTCTATTTCAGTTAATTCAGGAATCTCAGCAATTATTTCTTCTTCCATTTTACCATCAAATATGGCCTGTGCCATCTGTTTAAAAATAAAAGCAAATGAGAGCATTAGAAAAAGAATATATAATCCTAAAGATAAAAACAAGTGTATAAAAATTATTTTTTGAATGCCATAATTATGAGACCATAATTATAATCCAATTCTTTATAATTATAGGCCCACAATTATAATTCAATTTAATTATTTAATTATAATTATAAAATTATAAAACCAGCTTTTCCTAAATTAACTGTAGTTAACACACTTCATCAATTCCATTACACTTATTTATACAATGAATATTCAAGTAGCATAATTAAATAAAATTATTTACACTAAAGTAAATTGGCAAAGTGAGATTATTTCAGAATTGGCCTAGTAGTTGATATTTTTGTTTTTCTCTAATAACAGAAGAGGTAGTCTCCAATAAGTTTCTATTAAAGGTTATTAAAATGATGCTATCAATAAAAGATATTATATGTCTAACATATCAGCTCAAACAAAATATTCAAGTGAATATTTCATCATATAATTTTAGTCTTTTATAATTTTCTTTTAAGTTTTCCACTTAAGAATTTTGAGGAAGATTGTGTCATCAATGAAAAATTTCAGCTGAATATATTCATGTTGTAAGATACCGTACTTAAATTATACTTTGAAATATGTAAAATTTAGAGTTGTTTAGTAGCACTATTTTCTTCCAAAATCAAAAACAAAAAGAAATAATTCCTAAAATTCCTTATTCAAAAATTTAGGAATGAAGTAATAATAACCAAATGTTAGTTAAAATGACAAGAAGTATACACATAATTGCAACCATTTATTCTTTTGTATAATGTTTATTTAGGCTACAAGTTTGATTATATACAAATCCATACTGCTACTCACCTCATAGAAAAGTTTATAACGTGATTTAATAAGAGTACGTCCATACCAGACATCAAGTACATTAAAGTCAGAATCCATCTCCCAAATAACACTAACAGCACACCTAATAAAGAAAAGATATTATAAACCTTACTAATTTAAGTGAGAAAAATGGAAAATATTTTAAGTATATTTTCCATGAATAACAAAAGCACTCTTCTATCTAAAACTGAAGATAATAATAAAAAAGATTTCATAAAAGCTAAAGATGATTTGTCAGGCCCAAAGTTTTTAAAATTGCATATAGAAAATGTTTAATAACAATGAATACATTTCACTTGAATAACTGCAGGTGTCTCTTAGAATAAGTGCAGAAGTTGTCAACCTCCTCCAAATAGATTATGCAATATGGATTATATTATTGCTAATCTATATGTAAAACATATCACTCACATTATCATCATTGGTTTCCATAAGTTCACTCTAGGGAATAGGGTCATATCCAGGATTTGAATAGCAGGTTGTTTTTTATGGAGAAGAGTTGCCAACCTCCTCATTGGTTTCTGTAAGTTCCTAATGTATATTTCTCTATTTTGTTTTTTCTTATGTATACAATGAAGAATTTGCAATGATATCAGTCCTGACCTAGCATCTCAGGCTCAGTCACTTTTCCACTGCCATACAGTTGCTTCCCTGTGCCTTTTCTATAAATATTTTCATAGCAATTGTTCTGATGAGCTTTCCTCTTTTGGTACCTCCAATTTATGAATTTAAGTACAGTACTAGATTTGCAGGTAGTTTTCATTGTTTTACAGTTGTAATGACTAAATGTAACCATAAGTTCTATGCTAAGTTTATTTTCCCACAATTTTCACTTGTGGAACTCTCTTCTGGCCACTTGCTTTTCAGTCAAGTTTGATCTTCAAAAATTTAAATGCAATAACAATCTTAATTCATGTTCTTTTATTGACCTTTCTCCTTAATAATGTTCTTTTTTCCGATTCTTTTATATTCAGCAATCCTTTGTGTCTTAGTGGCTTTATTACCTTGCTTGGAGTGAAATGATTAAAAAAATAAAATACAAATAAATGAAGCATGCTAAAATGCGTAAAAAAAAAAAAAAAAAAAAATGTTAAAAAAAGACTTTAAATTTTCAAAATAATTTACAATAAAAAACATACCTGTCCGCTCCACTAATTAGAGAGCAGAGATTAGAGCTTAGTACTGAAGGTAACATGTCATATCGTCTATCTGCAAGGTAGACTGTGCTGGCTCGTGTCTTCGCTTCAAGGTCAGTTAAAGATCTTTCCTTTACAAAATATGTAACATCTGCAATGTGCACTCCCAATTCAATATTACCATTTGATAAATATCTGAAAGAAAGAAAAAAAAAACTAGTTTTAAATAACAATTGCAAACCTTACTAAATTCATTAGTTACAAAGCAATCATAGTTGAGAGGGTGCTGAAAAGTTATCAGCCCAACCAATAAAAGATATAAAAAATGATTCTGAGGCTTAGTCACTTGGTCAGATTTAATAATCCCCCAACATGTCTTTCTAAAATGATATAAATATTTTAGACATAATTTGAAAATCAATGTCATGCTATAATGTTTATAATATACAAGAAATTTAAAATTTTGTTGACATCAATAATTAATATTTTTATGTAACAGATTTAAAATTAATGGGATATTTGTTAATAATCTAAATAGATTTATTTTACACCTGATAAGTTATAGAACTTTTTACTTATATATTCACTAAAACATAAAATAGCATAAAGTCAGTATTGTACCAAACAATGAGGTACAAATATATATTTATTATTAGCATAAACATATATAAAATTATGAAAGCAGAGACTTTAGAAAGTCTCTAGTCTCCACTTTCATAATTATGATTTGCTCTGTTCTTACATTGAGCTCTCTTTGGATTTATATCCTCTTTGGAATTATCCATACAGATTATCAAATAAATATATATATATATATATATATATATATATATATATATATATATATATATATATATATATAATAATAAATAGATTTATTTTACACCTGATAAGTTATATAAGTATTTATTTTACACCTGATAATATATAAGTTATATATATATATATATATATATATATATATATATATATATAAAATTAATGATTTAATAATTGGTAATGTATTGAGAGTAATAGTTTTGGCAATGTGTTTTATATACACCTGCTTCAGAAATATTATTGTTAAGGGTGTTTGAGGATCTGATTATATCCATAATGGTTTAGGAAATGTTTGTGTTTATTTTGATATTATTTAGATGGGATACGTTGTTCTGGATAGTGAACATGATGGAGTTGGTCGGTAGTATTATGTATCTGTTCTCATAATTTCTTATTACAGATGATGTCGTTATTTTTGTTGTGGTTGTATATTTTGTATGCCTTTCTTCTTGCGTTGTGGATAAAATGATATTGGTATTGGTATTGTAAGTTTTTAAATGTGTTTTCTATGTACATTTCTTCTTTAGGTAAATATTGAGGGCTTCAGATTCTTAATGTTCTCAAATAAAAACCTATAATAATTCTAGATTTAATTTTAGAAGAGTGGTTTGTGTAAAAACTGACCATGCCATGTTTGTTGGTAGCTTTTCTATAAACATCAAAATTGATTCATTATTGTTTCTGTGCAACATGATATCTAGAAAGGGAATAGTGTAGTTGGTTTCAGTTTCAAAGGGGAATCTACAATAGACTTCACCTTTGACATTTTGCATTGATTGGTTATTGTGATTAATGTCTTATATGAAGAATATTGAATCAACAGTTGCATATTAATTTACCAAGTAATTCTATACGTTTAAATTATTTACTGGTTTCTTAAAGAAGCTATTTATTTATCAACTATAAAAAAATTTTTTTATGTAGGAAACTCACAAAGCATATAACTTGTTTAGCATTTTGTTAAATTATCACTCCACCTCATTTTTTTATGAAATGACATTGGCTAGTGTGTATGATATGTATCTATTAACATCCGCTCCTGTTTAACATCTGTGCTGCCATTGACAATCTACAGGTCATGATTCATTTATAAAAAATAATTTCTTAATTTTTTTTTCTTCGCTTAGTTTAAATTTAACATAGGTCATATTCAACTGGTCAATCTGAATAATGCCCACAAACCTTATAAACGCCAACCATTTTATTTTCATAAAAAGAGGTTGTATTTTGCTTTTAAAAATAAATAAATCATTCACTTGCCATTAATTTACAATCGCTTGATGAGGCACATTGAAACACATCAAAACACGACTGCAATTGTGTAGTGATTTTGACGTTTTTGATGTAATATCCTAAAATAAATAATATTGCTCCACTTTGCATCGAGCCCTCTTTTAAATTAAATGTTATGAATGTAGGAATTATACTCTATTCACTCAAATATTACCTGGATATATATATATATATATATATATATATATATATATATCCAGGTAATATTTGAATGAATAGTTGTAACACCTATCTGACCACAGCTCTATTAGAATCCATTTAAACACACACACAAACTTACCAGAATCCATCTGAAACATACTAGTAGAAAATACAAACACAATAACCTGATCCACAGGTAAAAAAAGATTTAAAATAATGGAAGCCTTAATAATAAAAAAAAAAGCCAACACTTAATAATATTAACTATGAATACGGCCACAATATGGTGTGATCAGAAAATAAAACATCTCTATAACACTAAAAACATACACACAACCCACACACCCAATTAAATTGAAAAATAAAATCATCCTTGATAATGGTTAAAAGTATAGATGAAAGCGCTCAGAATTATAGAACATTTGCAGTTTCTACACACTCTGTGTCCAAAATGAAGGCTAGCTGCCTAAATACACAATATATATATATATATATATATATATGTGAAAAGTGTATATAAATATAAATAAATATATATGTATAATTATTTATATATTATATGCGCGGTACTTATTAGGAAACCCAGGGTCACAAACTCACATCTATCCAACCAAATATATATATATATATATATATTATATATATAAAAATCAACATTAAAATCAACACCTTGCTGTAACAACAGTCTGTAGTCACTGGGTGTTGACTTCAATGTACACTTTTATATTTACATTTTACATATGCTCTATCCCTGATATTGAGCACTTTAACCCATAAATATCACATACCTTAAAACTATATTTTATCACACACACACACACATTTTATATATATATATATATATATATATATATATATATATATATGTGTGTGTGTGTGTGTGTGTGTCCAACTTATGATTGCTTGACTTATGACATTTTGAAGTTACAATATTTTTATCAAAATAGCAATTTTCTGAAAGATATATTAAAATTTCATTAATTAGTAGAATTTTAAAATGCAAGAATATTTAGACATTGTACGTGTGATAACAGCCACTTTGAAAACTAATCCAGAAAATGGTTCAGAAATTCATACATATATCAGCCATTTTAACACCTAATCCAAAAAGAATCATTCAAAAAATAACTATTTATTTATAAGCATGTTTAAACTGTTTTAAACTTTGTTACTTACTTGACAGATAATGTGTCATCAACATCTTCACAACCTTTAGGATCAATACTGAATACAAGATGGCTCTCTCGTAAGTCTCTCCTTTTAGAAATTTCTTCCTCGGGAACACACCATGGATGATCTGGTTTTACTTTTGGTAATTCTTGTAACTAGAATTTAGACATTTAATCTAACTGATTAATTTAAAAATAAAACATTAACACTTGAAAAAAACATATAAAAAATACTAAAAGATAGTTCACATGCTGATGAAAATATATTAATATTAGCTAAGAGATATTCTGATACCAAAACCAAAATAAAAATACGTTTAGTTTTATGTAAAAAAATAATGCCTGTTTGTGGTAAAATTCTAACTTTATGATAGTAATTAAAAAGAGTATTCCAAATGTTTTCAGCTTTAATATGATCCCTTTTAAACTGATTCCCAATTGTTATTTTATTTGATTGTCTAACATACTATAATTATTCATGTATAATATACACCCCTATCTTTAGACTATGAAATTCTGAAAAAAAAAAAAAAATCTTCCATGTATAATATACACTAACTTTTTAGTATTTGTAGAAGCCAAATTTAATTTAAATTTAACATCTGTTCAACTTTTTATCTGATTTTTATCAACTAAAAATAAGAATTAAAATAGATTACATGTCTTGAAGCACAAAATTTCCACAGTATTTATATTGTAGATAATTTACCCAATTTACAATACATCAAGTGTAACAACCTACATTCAGAAATTAAAATTTTTTAATTTACACTGTTTACATTCAGAGTATTATACTAATCTTTGTTGGTGTTATCACAATGTTTCGGCTGTTGTGCCTTCCAGCTTTCATCGGGTGTATATATCAATCTGTATAACCTACAGGAAATCCTGAACTGAACCCTTTATTTAATCTACAGGGGTAGACTATTTTCATTCCCTTGCCCATGTCTAGGGATATTTCATCTAGTTTTATTGTCACAATGTAATTGAATAATTATTGTTATCAAAATCAACCAGTACTAAAAACTATTTAAAATTAATAATTTCAAGCTCATAAATTTTTTCATTTTTTTATTTTATAAAGCTGTTTATAGCAATGAATTTATAACAATGAATATAAACTGTTCTAATTTTTTATTTCCTTTGCTTAATGCTATCAGTCAGTTATTGTCATCTTTCCTTTTTATTGGATGAAATACTGTCAACCATAATTATCAACTTTTGACTAGTATATTCTTTCATCTTAATTCTTTTAGCTACTTTTTATCACAATTTATCAATACTAGAAGCAATAACAGCTACTGGACTTGAGAAACCTATTTTCCTTGAAAATTGTTTTAAGAGAAAGATTTTATAAATTTCAACCAAAAGGCTGCTTGGTCAATGAATACCAAATGTTTCCCTATAAGGAAATGGCTAATATTGATTGATTTGTTTTTACAGATTATCAACCTTTTGAAAATTTATTTAAAGTTAGAAATTATTTTTAGAATATAAGAATTTTTTTGGAGATGACAAGGATTTTACTGATAAAAGTCATACTAATTAGCCCATAGCTGGGAGAAGATTTGGATTCATACCTTTCCTAAGAGTATTTGCACATAAGTGAATATAATGAACTTAACTGGAATTGGAATTTGGCTCTCTGATTTCCATGACAGCTAATATTAACATTATTCAGGCCCTCGATCTACAGCAGTAAGTTTAACCAGGCTTTCTTGAAGCAAAAGATGTGAGTCCAACTCTCACTGAGAGCTTATCTTTTATTTCCAATCCATACTGTTTATTCCCTATTGTAGACTGATTCCTTGAATAAAGTTGTGATAAAAAGCAACTAACAGGAAATACAAGTCAAAATTGATAAAGTTTTACAACACTTACAATCTCTAACTAGACTCAAATAGTTTGACTTTGAAATCAACTATTCATGTCAAGAGAAGCATTATAAACAAAAATTATCAGATTGGCTCTTATATCAATTAAAATTTAACATTAAAAAAAAAATAAACCAGTTTCTGACAACTAATTCTTTCTCTTTTACATGGCTAAAATTCTTATTTTTAACTACTAGACTATCACAATAGTGCATATTCTCTTCCACAAAATAATATCTACAATATGTATTCTATAAGGAATTAATGAATTTTATTTATTATCTGACATTATTTCTTATTACTATAAACATTATTATAAATGGATATGTGTTTGAGTAGATATCTGTTTTTTAATCAGTTGATGTCTAACAGCCTGCATATTCAAGTGTCTTAATAAAGAAAATGTGCTGCAGGTTATCCCACTTGACTTTGCTAAAAGAAAAATGTTACTAGAAGGCACACCTTAAGCCTATAAGAAGGCATGCATTTATCTCCCTAGTCTCTTTTACAGCTTTTCAACTCTGGCATTAAGATGTAGTCTACATACAGTTGGAACATGGCCACTAAGCTCACATGCATTTTTCTTTCTCTCTCGACTTTTGAACTCTTTCACACACATGTCTATCATGTCAGCCTACACAAATTTCACACACACAAAAATGCACAATCTAGAGTTTAAATGTTTTCTATGTAACTAGTCTTTAAATGTTTTCTTCTTTCATTGTAATTGTAATTTCTTTTTATAAGTACATGCATTTAGTTGTCATTTGTTTTATATTGTTTTGTTTTGTGCTACTCATTTTTTACCGAGACTCAGGGTCCATCAATATTATTTCCAGGAGTCCATAAATATTTACAATCCAAAATGTTCCCAAAAAAGTGTCTTTCAGCCCTGCTATTTTCCTTATTAAGACTCTCAAATACCCAATCTGATAGACATTATTTACACTATTTGCATGCAGTCTATTGTCCTCATCTTTGTTATTGACAATAGTCTGCATGTAAATAGTGTAAATAATAATAAATTCAACCAGAAATTATCAGTTACACTGTTAACCCTTTGGAGATGGAACCTCATTTGGAGTTTCAGTGTCAAAAAAACGGAGCCCTTTTCACAAGCCCTACAGAAGGCATGCACATTTTTTTTTAAATTATAAAAAATAAAGTAATTACTTTACATATATAAAACTATATATATTCTTGAAGGAAATTGAATGAAAAACAATCTTTATGAATAAAAGTGAAATCTCAACATTTATTCAAATTAGCCATCCTGATTTGCATAATTTATGCATACAATTTTTTTTCCACTTAGATCTAACATGATTTACTTGCAGAATTTGGGGAAAATTTTTTATGGATGAAGGCTGAATAAGTGTTTTGGGAAACAAGGCCCATGGAGTCCCTTCAGACACCTGTGGCACATGGTTCTACTCATTTTCTTGCCTCCAGGTATTTTTCTGTTGCAACAGACACAGCAGCCATTTTCACCATTGCAGGCTATGCATCTGCTTCTGCTGCAGCTTTTGTATCATTTTTATTATCTAATTGTGCTTTACTAAGTGCTTTAATGACTGAAATGTTAAATTAATATCTACTTCTAATGATTTTTTCTACTGAATTTTCCTTGTAAAGAATGTGGCCGTTAAGCAGCATACGTGACAAAAGATTGAATGTAACCCTCTTCCAGTACTTAATAGTTTTTCTTTCATCCAAATAAAAATACAGCATCCTGTCTGATTGACCAATCCCACCCATATATTTGTTATAGTCAAAAACAGTCACTGTTTTTTGTTTTTTTTTCAATCTGTGGTGCTTCTCTACCTTGTAGTGCGCTCCTCCACCAAATTGTTACATCTCTTGTATCTACTTTGTTCTTTGTTGATATCAGTAGCACAGTTTTTTTGGGGGGACTTCTCTCTGTACACTGTTGCCAGTGTTTCATTTTGCCTATCAGTAATGATCTCTCCAGGTTGCATTTTGACTTTCAAAATTTTTAGAAGTTATTTTCCGTTTCAACGGATAGTTCCAGTAATATGTGTGCAATACTCGGCTAACTCAAACTCTGATATGAACTTTGATTTCAGCTAACCTGAATAGTTTTTTTTGTGTTAATTTTTTGATTGGCCAAAATTATTTTATTTTTCAGCAACCTTTCTTTTTCATTTTTTCTTTTATATAATGGAATTTATTGGTAGAGCCTGTCTCATTTTGGTAGATTAATAGTTATAAGTAGGCTCTGGTCCCGCAAACTTCTGGTGTTTTTTGGCTAAGTTGAGTCTTTTCTTCTTCCTCTTTTTTATTTGAGGGTTGCCTTCTCATTAATTGGAAGGGAAGTATATAGAGAGATGTTTAGAGAGAGAAAGAGAGAGAAAAAAAACAGATAAAAGTTTAAAAGGAAGGCACAAATGCCTTATTTTAATTTGAATTCTTTCTTCTTTTGTTTACATTATTTTTATATTTTATTTTTATTGAGACTCACTACAGTAATATATATTCTGTTAAGAAATGTGGATACAAAATATAAAATTTACTGAATTCTATATTAAATCCATTGCTAGGTCAGCAGCTAAGAAAGTTGGTTCACTGTGTTGTGTGAGACAATTTTTCTCTCCAGAATCTATCTTACATATTTATAAATCTACCATTTGGCCACGCTTAGAATATTGATGCCACATATGGTCTAGTGCTCCTGTTATTTACCTTGGGCGCCTTGATAAAATCCAAAGAAGAATCAGCAATACTTTCATGGAAATTGTTCGGATGAGCTTTTTGCTATGGTACCTAGACTTTTTTAATTTAAGCGCAGTACTAGACTGGCCTCGATATCTCATCAATTTATAGTAGAACTGGGTAGATGTAGCCATAAGTTCAATGTTAACAGTTTCTTCTCTCACACTTCTCGCATGTGGAACTCCCTTCCAGCTCCATGATTTCCAGCCAACTTTAATCTGCAAAAATTTAAATGCAATGTCAATGGCTATCTATTATCCTCCTGATTATGCTTTCTTCTTACTGCACATTATTAATGTTTTTGTTCCTAATTCATCCACACCTTGTAACCCCTTATGTCTTAGTGGCTTTACTGCCTTGCATGGGATGATACCAATTAAAAAAAAAAAAAAAAGTCACATTATGAAATTTTATAAGATATATTATTTTACCTGCATGTCTGAAAAATTTCCTACAATGATGTTGTTTTCAACCAAAACAGTAGCAATTTCCGTTTCTGGATCACCAACTGCACCCAGTGTGCGAACAAAGTGTCCGTTGGGATATTGGGAACCCAACTCCCATGAATCAATTCTTACCACAAACCTAGGATAAAATAAAAAAAAGTTCAGAAAATATAAGGCTTTTCCACAAACATAAATATACAAGAGGAATAGATCATTCTTGGAGAATCTTATTAATTCTCACCTTGGACCAAAGTCAACTTTTCACATAGTTCAATAGAAATATATATGTACACATACAAGTATATTTGGTAAAATACGCTGAAAGGCTATGATATTTTTGGACAATTGCTTGAACTGATTCAGTTTTATCAAATTGTGAAATTAAAGTTGTCCTGAACAGCTACTCTTCTACATCTTTTTGCATTAGATTGGCAGCAAGGTCTTATCAATTCACAGTTGAATTGACTAGATGTAACCGTAAGTTCTATGCTAACAGTTTCTTTTCTTGCACTTCTCACTTGGAACTTTCTTCTGGTTCCATGCTTTCCAGCCAACATTCATCTTCAAAAATTTAAATGCAATGTCAATCATTATCTACTGTCCTCTTGATTACTCTTCTATTGTTCTCAATTCTTAATGTTTCTCTTTTTTCTTATTCTTTCACACTTAGTAACCCCTTGTGTATTAGTGGCTCTACTGTCTTGAATGGGGTGATATGATATAAAAAAAAAAAAAAAAATAGCTATTCATCCAGAAGAAAAACTTAATATTATTTACTGGGGAGTTTGGGGTGGGGGCTTACAGACATATCACATTAAAATACCAGTTCCTGTATAATCACCGAAGTTAAGCAATGTCAAGCCTGGTTGGTACCTAGATGGGTGACCTCTTAGGAATACTGTAAGCTTGGATGTGTGGGTGATGTAATGGATAATGGCTCAGTATTGTTAATTGAAGAACTGAGTTCCAATTTCAATTGGGTTTGCTATATTCACATATGTATATATACCCTTGAGAAAGGTATGAATCCACCTCTTCTCCCCAAGCTATGGATTAATTAGTAAGACTTGTATCACTAAATAATTATTATCTCCAAACAAAAAAAGTTCTTGCAATCTAAAAATATTTTCTGACTTTATATAACCTGTAGAAAATGAATCAATCAATTAAATTTTTCGTTAAAACATGGTCATTTGATTGAAACATGGGAGTTAAAGAAATTCAGCTACAATGGAGTGTTGAAAAGGTCTCAATGTGAACACTTCCCAAAATCTAAATAGATATCTGAATATTTTAAAATCCTTCCTTGAGAACTTTTCAGCATCGTGTTCTTCTGATATAAAAGAAAGTATAGTCAATATATTCTATATAGTGTTATGTATTGGTTTTTGAAAGTACCATCATAATAATATACACTTTTACATGGCCAGTGATATTCAATCTAAATTATTGGATGTAGAAATACACAACAAACTCCTGCTTTATTCAAGATGAGAGGTCAAACAAGGAACAATGTTTCTTTATTTCAACAATGTGGGTGAATAAAAGTGCTAGAAAGGATTAAAAAATTTAAAATAATCAAGAAATATTTTGGCCTTTTCTCTTAATAATTAACATTTTAATGACAAATCTTTGTTTTAAGTTTGGGGCCTTTTTCATCATGCTATGCTGTTTTTCAGTGGAGGTACCACTTCTGTGCATGAACACAATTCTTACTTTGTTAAATTGTTGCCTTATTATTGATGCTTTGCCTAATTTTGTCCTGCATATGAATTGTTTGCTTAGTATATTTTTTGCCCTGTTCTTTTTCTTCCTTTTATTGAAAATTCTGACAATTACTGAACAATTTCAAGTAAGAAATTGTATAATTTCAAATAAAAATATGAATGACTGATAAGCTTAAAATAAATTTAATAAAAAATATATTCAATTAGTCAAACATGTCCAAAGAAACAGGTAATTGTAAATTATTTTTTTAAAGTATGAGCATGCATAGAGATATTTACTAAGTTTAGCTTAGTTTGGGTGTTAGGAAAATTATTGTGTGCAAATGTTAAATATGAGGTGGGCTTGTTTGACATTGAAAATCAATATGCAAAATCCGAGATTTTCATTTATTCCCAGTTGCCCCAATCAGTAATTTTTTCTTCAAAAGTTTTATTAAAAAGAACTTTGCAAAATAGATTACAAAGGAAAAAAAATATAAACGAAAAGAAAGACATCTGAGTCATCAGATGTTGATGGCAAAAAAATCAAATTAATAAAACGACTACTGAAACATTCTTGTCTGATTCATTTCATTTTTACAGCCATTTTCTGAAATCGGACAAACGTGTAGTAAATGTTTTGAAACATATCAAATAGACATAGTTTAGTTATTCACGAATTTCAGCTTCCCAGAGAACATGCCTAGCAGAATAAAAAAGTTCTACCGTATGTGTATCTTTAACTAACCTATTCATTTTTATCATTGAGCAAGGGAAGTAACTCAGTAAATACAAAGTGCCATAATTCTATAATTGGTTGCCATTAAGAGACATATATACCATATAATAGAACTATGAAATAAAAACATGATAAAGACACTAATAGCAATGATGCCATTTAACAATAAAGATTCCAGTATTTACCTTTGGTCTTTAAGAGTGTCTATCTGACGTGTACAAATCCGAATCTTTGGTATGCGATAATCCCAGGGTATCACCAACACACGGTCAGCTCTGCGTAGACTTTTCTGACTTTCTACTTCATTATTCTGAAAAAGTTAAATAAAATCATTCATTTTTCTTAATTTAATTTCAAGTTTAAATCAATTCTAGTCATTAAAACATAAAGCTATAACAAATAAAAGAAATTAGATATGTATAAGTATCAAATATATAAATACAGAAATTAATATAAATTTTTATATATATTTTCAGTTGTATGGATATGAGTTTGTGACCCTGGGTTTCATGCTTTTGCAATCACCAGACAAACTGGTTTATTTTTTAAAGCAAAAGCATGAAACCCAGGGTCACAAACTCATATCCATACAACTGAATATATTAGTTCTATCACTGATATTGAGCATCATTAGGTGTGAAAGTCAATCTCTCTCTATTGCCCTTTGAAGTTAAGGAATCAAGACTCATGCATCTCATGCCTGTGACAAACAAAATAGATGAGCATATTCATATTTTTGGTACATTATCTTTTGATATTTAAGTTAAGTTTATAGTAAAATTTTTTATATATAAGAATTATATATATATATATATATATATATATATATATATATATATATATATATATATATATGCAAGTGTTTTTATATGAAGACTTTTTGTGTTTTATTTGATATTTTCATATATTAATGTTGTTGTATGTTTCATTCAATTTAAAGGTTGATGTTTCACATCTACACACAATAACCCTATTTGCATTAGTATGGCAAAGCCAACCAACAAACAAAATAAGTAATAATTGCTTTTGTATAATATGATACTATATATATATATATAATTAATATTTGGGCAGCAGCCTTTTAAATATCTTTCGTTAGATATAGCAGACAAAGAAGATTTAATTAATTTTTTATTTATTTTTTTCCAGCATCCTTACATTTTTCCATAAATAAAAATAAAATACAACTTAAACAGTCAAAACATGAGGAAAAACTAACAAAAAAAAAACTTTCAAATTAGCTAAAGAAATGGCAAAAAGGGGACAATGAAAATTATGGAAAAAGTCTGTACTTCCTTATTATTACAAAACTGAAAAACATAAGGATGCTGGTAAAACTAAATAAAAAATGAATTAAATCCTCTTTCCCTGCCATATTTAATTAAAGATAAAGAATAAAAGGAAAAAAAAAATCAAAAAATATAAGCAGTAAATTGCTGATACCTGCTGAAAAGTGGACAGACATGTCCGCCTATGAAACTCTGGAGTCTGGATGCTGAAGTTAACATCAATCAGCTAAGTGACAAACTTTTACTCACATTAATCCTACATATATATATATTTCATTCAAATACCCTTGGTAAAGGTATAAATCCAACTCTTCTCCCTCCAAACTATAAGTTAAGCAGTCGGACCTGTATCAGTAAATCATTATCTCCCCCAAAAATCTTTTCAACATATAGTTTAAGGTATTATAGTTTAATATAGTTTTAAGGTATATTTGTGAGTTTAAGTGATCAATATCAGGGATAGAACATATGAAAATATAAAAGTGGACATTGAGGTTTGTTTCATGTTTAAATGCAATTATTAGGCTATAGCAATAGCTTATGGCCATAGCAATAATAACAGGATAATGATGCTGAAATATTTTGTTAAAATTAATTTTGATGGCCTGATGATTGTTTAAGCATGAAACAGACTGTTGCTGTTGGGTGTTGACATCAATGTCTACTTCAATCAGCTAAGTGACAAATTTTATATTTGTATTAATTATAAATACACACAAACACACACATATATTTGATGAATACAATAAAAAATATGTATATCGATGTATATATGAATATATAAAATATAAACAAACTGAAATTTCTTTGTGTCAATTAAACTGAGAAAGTGAAATTGTAAAAATGGTTGTATTCACTTCTTCTGAAGCTAAAGATGCTGCATAATCCAAGCAGTTGCGCTGCAAAATGCCAACCACTTTACCATTAGGCATTACAGATGACGTATCAGGTTCTTCTTCTTCAGCACCTAACGAGAAAAATAACAGAATAAAACAATGCAATGGTTTTTAATCACTGAAATGTGGTATTTATTTTCATTAATTTTAGTCTCATTTCTTTCAAATTTTTACAGAATTCATTTTACTTTTGAATAGGAAAATATCAATGTAAAATTACAATAAACTAAATTCTGCATGAAGATAATAATCTTTGTCTTGCTTTTGTATTCTAAAAATATCCAACTATAACTTGGCAAAGACTGATTAGAATACATAGGACAAAAATTCATGCTGAATTTATATATCTGAAAGATCTTCATTTTTTGCATCAGTTTTTTTCTGGTATATATATTGTATTTCATCTTTACAATTTGCTGAGTAGTTTTTTCTTTTTTGTTTTACTACCTTCCCACATTTTCATCTCTTCCAACAGAATTTTGAAACAGTGTTTAGACAAGGTAAAAGTGGCAACTATCCTCAAAAAGGACCGCCAATCAGTTGTTAACTGAGGCAAAAAATGACTTGTAAATTTTAACACCTTCAGAACACAACTGAGTTCATTTAATCCCCATAGAGAACTTTTTCAACACTCAATCTGTATGCAGTGCTATAAAAATCAAGGAGGATTGCTAGTAGTCAGGAATTAATACAAGCAATACTGACATAATAGAGTTTATATATATATGTGTGTGTGTGTGTGTGTGTGTGTGTGTGTGTGTGTGTGTGTGTTCACCGGAGGAGGGGTGTATTCAACATTTGATAATTTTGCAGCAATACATGCTTAAAGGTTTTAGGCAGTTTTGATCAACATTTCTTTTCATGGTTAGCTGTAAGGAATAGTAAATGTAGGACTAACTTATACATAAATAAAATAATAAAAATAATATTTATGACAGGAAATATCAAGTTTTATAGGAACATTGCTGACAATTATGTATTTAGTTACATAAATAAATAAAAATAATATAAATTTTGATGCTATATTCATTTTGTTGTTAAGTATTTTTCATTTTCTCCTTTGTTATTGGCAGCATTTTAGAATACTTTGGCTGCTGTGCTAAGTTTCCAAAGTTGAACAAACTGGAGCTATTTTGTTCAAGCTTTGTTACCTCTCTTTTCCATTGTTGTTTTTAGATCGCTTTCTTCCAGTCATTTTGATGGGCAATAACAAAATTCTAAAATTTAGAATGATCTTATTCATTCCAAAAATAAAGTTTGTAAAAAGGAATATTTTAAATTAATATACAACCAAAAATAAAATGCTTTTGACAAAAAACTTTAATGATTTCACTATAATTAAGTAACAATAATGTAATGATATTCCACAGACAAATCTACGGTTTATGTTATCTCATCTCATTGCATGGTTACAAACTATAAACCTAAACTGAACTTGGAATATTGTATAACCAGCTTTCATTTTTGTAAAATACTTGGATATGACATAATGAATAATTTGCAATGAATAAAGCAATTTTTGATTTTTTGTTGAATATGCCACTCCTCTGCCGATCGCATCATATAATGAAGATGAAACTAACATAATATAACTTTTTATTAAGCTGGAAATTATATGCTGCATTTGCCCAAAATTGAATGAGTGTCAAAGTTGTTATAAAAAATTGTGCCTTCCATCAGCAAGGCTGATGATAACTTCCAGTAAAGCAACTCTTTGCACCCGTCTTGGGCTCACATTTTCCACTGACATGAACTGCAGTGATTATATTGAATCAATTGTTAGGTCTACTGCAATGAATGTTGGTTCACTGTGTCATGCCAGACAATTTTGTTTTTCATCAGAATCCATCTTGCACATTTATAAATCTACCATTCAGACATGCATTGAATACTGCTGCCATATCTGGGCTGGTGCTCCTGTTGCACATTTCGGGATTCTTGACAAAATTTGAAAATGGGTCTGTAATGATCCTGACCTGGTATCTCAATTTAAGTCACTTTCTCAATGACATGACGTGGCTTAGAAATCTGTCCTTCATGGATTACATTGCTATGAATTTGAAGTCCTGCAGCTGATAAATTTTAAATGGTCTTGTATTGACTTTGGTATGGGGAATATTCATTGTTAAAACTGATTTTTCCAAGATTTCTATATATTAAAAAGTACACTTGTTTTTCTTAAACATTCATTTTTTTATTTTGATCAACTGATATGTATGGTTTCTTTCACTTTCCAAGTTGGATGAAGTTATCATTCTCCTCAAAGAATTAAACAGAGTCAAAATCTGACAAACTGTTGTATGTATTTGATCATTTTTAATAGACAAAATTATAACTTTTAGGTACCTCTGAAAAGCGATTACTAAAGGAACAACCCAAATCATAGATTTAAGCAAGTTATAGGTATGAATAATGTAATGGTTATCAGTGCAGAAAATGGTATCAACAAGCTGAGTTCAAATGCTGGCCTAATCTGCTATGTTCACTTTCCCACAGAAGCTTTTGAAAAAGGCATGAATCCATCTCCTCTCTCTCTCTAGCTACAGGTTAAACAACAGGGTAGATTGAATCCTTGAGTGACAATCAATCTAAGAGAAAGAAAACTCTGAAATCCAAATATACTATCATTTCCCAAGAATTCATGGTAATTCAGATAATAAAGAAAAGGAATCTGTGGAGATCCATGATTGACAAAGTCCTGAAAGGACATAGCATTTTTAAGAGGTTTAGAATGAATTCTTGTCATTTAGCCATGAGTATTGTTCTACTTGGAAAGGTGAAAGATAGAAAAAATATATAAACAAAATAAGCGATTCTGTTTAATCTCTTTGAAGATTGCCACATAAAACTTAATAAATTTCATGGTATGGAAGAAACCTGGTCCCTACGTTTTTTCTTAAAAGTTATTGAAAAAATCTCCCAGATCATAAATGCTAAGTTGAGGTATTTAGTAGGCTATTATTTACCCAACCACTGTATACAATCAGTACTTGTATCTAACCTAACCTCATAACATTGTAATGTTTTGTTTTTGGTTGTATTTTATTTAGCAGCATTATCAACCTGTATGGGTTATTTAATGTCAAAATCTAAATATTTAGTATGCAATAACTCATAGCAGGGGGGTAGAAGAGGTGGATTCATACCTTTCCCAAGGGTATTTGCACTTAAAGGAATATAGTGAACCTAAGTGGAACTCGGCTCTCCGATTAATTTATTGGCATTGAGTAATTTCTGCTGCTACCATAACAATGAAATATTTCATTACAAAATGGAGATCAAGCTGCATGACCAATAAATATATAAAGTCATATTGTGTCTTATAAGAACAATTGATTCTAGATGGTTGTCAAATTTACATAAAGGATGACAATGAAATTTTTGACAAATTTGTAATATTTTTTTGTATTTTAGTTGACAGAATCACCCGAGGATTTTTAAGACAGAAAAGTGGAGATTTTGATATAGAATCCATAATAATCCTCAACTTAAATGGATATTGCAAGTTAACAAAAAATTATAATTGAAATAATTAACAATGAAAAAAATTAAAGATCGTTGTAACATTTTTTTTTTTTCAGACAAAAAAAAGAACAGAAAAAATGTGATTCAATCTATTGTAATTATCTTGTGAATACATTTTATTTTGTAATGACTATATTTTAAGGAGAATTTTGAATTTTTCAGAGAGAGAGAGAGAGAAAACACTATTTTTAATGTTGATTGATTCATTTTATATGGCTTATCAACCCTTTGCAGGTTATTTAAAGCCAGAAAATATTTTTAGATTGTGAGAATTTTTGTTTTTTGAGATAATGGTTTAGTGATACAAGTTTTTAATTAACCCATAGCTGGGGGTGGAAGAGATGGATTCATACCTTTCCCAAGGGTATTTGCACATAAGTGAATAAAACAAACCCAACAGGTATTGTAACTCAGCAATCTGATTAAGAATTCCAAGCCATTATCTATTGCATCACCTACACATCCAAGCTTACAGCACCTGGTATTCCCAAGTGGTCACCCAACTAGTTACTGACCTGGCTCAATGTTGCTTAACTCCAGTGAATACTGTAATATTAAATGTAAACAGTGTGGAGGGGTGTCATATATGTTTATCAAATATGGTAAATCTGTGGAAGTTCACTGGCCTTTAAACATTAAAAAATAAAGATAAGGATGCAAGTCTAAAATATTTATAGAATAGAAATATTTAATACAGGAAAGTAAGTTTGAAATTTAAGTAGAAACATTATTGAATGAAGCATTATTTCCTATGAATCCTTACCATCGTTGTTATCTTTTAAGTTCAAGGATTGACCACGCCATTCAGACTGTGGCAACAGCTCCACAACAACAATATCCCCATGAATGGCTCTATTACGGTGTGCCATTCCATGAATCAGGATGTCTGAATCATCATGTTTTGTCTCTGATGAACTAAGAAATAAAAACAAAATGTTAATTCTTGTGCAGTTCAAAAAAAAGAACAATCATTATTTTTTGTTTAGACTTCATTCTTAATCATTGATCAAGTGTGTCATGACAAGAGAACCTTTACCCAGATGAAAACTGATGCAGCTAAGATAGAAAGCTGAATGATTCAATGTGTTTATGTGGGTGTGGACTATAGATAAAGATAGCAAACAGCATGTTTAAAAGAAAAAAAAAAAAAAAATACAACATGTATATGATTGTCACTCCAAAAATAATGCATCATATTTTACCAGGTTGCCCTCACCAAGACATCCTTTACCATGGTGGTATGTCAGCAGTGGTTGAATTCTCCTGCCAATAATCCCTAATTTTTTTTTTTCAGCCTTGTTACACATAGCAGTCTGGGAAAATGATATCTGACATAAAAGTGCCTACAAAAAATTCCAACATGCAGAAAAAATTGCATCACTTACATTTTTAGATGCTTGTTGAATTTACACTATTTACATTACCCCAGACTATTGTCCTCATCTTTATTATCATATTCACAACGTTTCAGTCATCATCTGCTCTAGCCTTCTTCAGGTGAAATACATTGGAATTTCAAACCAAACCCTTTATTTAGTCTGTGAACAATAGTGTAAATAGTTACAATACCTCATCTCAGAAATATAGACAGATGCTTGCTGGAAATCAAACAATTGATGTGAGAACAGTCAGTGTATGAGAGTAGCAATAGTGATGTGACAAACAATATTCCTGGTCAGCCCTGCACAGCTGTTAAATCAAAAGTGAAGAGCATTTCAAAAATGCATAACCAATGATGGTGACTATATGGAAAAATATGTTGTAGCAGAAAAATTTCTCCATCCAACAGCATTATGGTGCTTCTTGTATGTGTTGTAGTTTCCATGGAAATAAGGACAAGAGAGTTGTGCAAGTATGTGTATAACACATATGAATACAACTGAAATGTAGCCCTCTTTGACGAAGGAAACAAAAAAGTCCATTTTCAGAGAGTAAGCAGATGGATGAGCAATGAAGAACCACTTTGTTTAATTCATCTTCACTGAGTTTGGATATAGGCAACCCAGGCTTTAGCCTTTTCATCAAAACAATATAGTCCTGTTCATAGCTTAGTATCCTGCTAGGAAGAAAGGGAAACATATTTTCTTAAACGTAGAACTAAAACCTACAAGGAAATGACAGACACATCCATTCTAAATACTAACTCCTACTGAATAATATCCCAAGGTCAGTCTTTTGACCATTTCTGATGATTGATCCTTCTTCTGGTGACTCAACACTCAAACGACAAAATTATCATGTGCTACACACCCTTAAGTCCCTAATGGCTTTTTCCTACCCAGAGTCCTATATTTTTTAATTCAGGAGGTATAGTGAACTAACACAAAGTGATTTTAACTCACTTACCCACTTCTTTGAAGAAATGCTTCTCTTTGGGCATCATATTTGTTTACATTAAGGAATCCTTTGATCAACCGCCCTGATTTAATTCCAGCTTCCAGCACATCAGTAGGTAAATAACCCAAATACTCAGTACCTGAAAAGATCATGAGGCATCTTACAATATTTATATTTAATACAAGTTAAATGTAAGCAAAATACATCAAAATATTGATAACTTTCTTGTTTGTGTAGCCTATGATATCTGTGAAATCATAGTTTATTTACAATTGGATTTAAGCATTGAGTGTATTTCAACCATGTAAACAAAGTTTCCGCTTTTCTTATTGCTCTTTACTACTGCAGCACTTTTCAGCTTGGCTACACTAACAAAATATTTTGGTGGCAGTGAAGAATTAAAAATAATGTTTAATGATTAATCATCAAAGTTTTTAATTTTTCATCTAAAAGCTTAAGCACTGAATCTGTACTTTTAATTAAAAATCAAGAAAAGCAATTGTCAGTTGTCAAGAACTAAGTATACTGTATTGTATATAAAGAAATTTTTATGTCATAGGGCTTTTTGTAGGTTCCCTAAGAATATGTGGTATTGTGGTATATGTAAGATTGAATGGTGATGGATGTGTTCTTGTGGTGTATGAGTAAATTGTAATGGATGAATGGGTTGGTTGTGAATCTGATTGGCTAGGTCTAGGATAGTTAATATTGACCAGTCTTACCTGATTTCCCCTTTGGCCCAAAATTGCCTTGTATACAGCAATAAATAATCATTCTTATTTGGATTAGAAGCAACAGAGCTACTGTCTGATTTTTTTTTGTCAGTGGGGGTTTGTTCTTCTAGGTGATAAAACTTTTGTCTCCTTCATCTGTCTAGCGAGGTTGGACCTGCCAGGAGATAACCTCCCATCAGTATAGCTCTCTGGTTTGTAGTTAAATAATTGAAGAAAAAAATTAAATAGATTTTTTAAATTTTTTTTTAAGTTAAGGATTATGCAGATAATATTCCTATTCTGTCAGTAATGTTTTAATTTTAAGTTTCTGTTTACAAAAGAGATAATTTATTGGTTCAGGCACATCAATTCATAATTGCCTCCAATTTTGCAGTTATAAAACATTTCATTACATCATACATTTATACTTTGTAAAACTGCTACCATACAAATCCAGTCAATTAAATATAAAAGAGACAAATCCCAAATATAGAGTTTTTAAAATTCATTTTTGATTGGTTCAAATTTGTGTTTTCAAATTATTCAACTTAAATATTAGAGAAACTATTTTGCTTTCTATCAGCATGCCTGAAGTTAATCTCCAGGAGAATAATTCATTGCACCTGCTAAGTCTTAACATTTTCCACTGACAAGAAGTGGAACAATTATATCAAATGAATTGCTAGATCTGCTGCTAGGAAAGTTATAAGAAATTTAAGCAACTATCATCTGCTTTCCTGAGAGAAAACAGACACTGCGTTCGGCTCTTGCTTAAACTTTTGAATTTCAAATATATTTTTGGTACATTTTGATTTGTGGGAAAATAGCTCCATTTTTTTTTTTCATTTGGAACCAATCAAAAGGTTTCTCTCCAAATTCCAAGAAGTGAAATCTGGGTGAATAAAAGGAAAACTAGAAATTGAATTGGTGGAGTCAACAAACAACTGCCGCATGAACCCAGGTTGGCACGGTCAAGGATAAACAACACAAAACAAATTTGGCAACCATCAGACAAGAACTGAAAGGAACATCAAAGTTGCTCCCACATCAAGGAAAATTCTTCAGCTGGTGTGACTGTTCTGTTCTTTGCTGCTACCACGAACTGTGCTTCAAAAATTGTACCTATTCTTTGAAAACTATTTAGAGAAGTATTTTTCCCCCTTTCTTCATTTATTTTTATGTCATTTACCTTTTCTAAGGACATTATACAGCATTATAATTTTTATTGTAAAATAGGCATATTTTATTTGTATTGATTATTTTTACATACATGTTATTAGTCATCATTTGGCACACAAAGCACTTAATTTGTGTAATTCTTTCATTTTCATGTGTTAACAATAAATTTATCGTCTGTTCTTTAAACTCAGCTTGTGTTGTCTGTCTTTGTTGTGTACCCTTATAAATTAAATGCTACCTCAAATGTTTGTTTCAAATATTTTTTTGTAGGGATTTTTTACCAAATAAAAAGTCATTTCAAGTCATTCAACAATTCTTCTGCTTTATAATTCTTTAAGTCTACCATTCATCCATGCATTCAATATTGTTACCACATCTGGTCTGGTGCTTCTGCCATACATCTACAGATTCTTGATAAAATCCAAAAAAGAATCTGCAATGTTATCGATCCTAACCTAACACTTTCCAACCACTGTAATATAGCTTCCCTGTGACTATTCTATAAATATTTCAGGGTAATTGTTCTGATGAGCTTTCCTCTTTGGGACCTAGACTTCACAAATTTAAGTACAGTACTATATTGGCAGCTAGGCCTTATCATTTTACAGCTGAAATTTTCTTCTCTAACACTTCTCACTTGTGTATATGTCTTCCTGCTTCTTGCTTTCCTGTCAACTATGATCTTAAAAAATTTACATGCAGCATCAATCGTCGTCATCTGTGTTTTTGAATCCTGTTCTTTTAGTGTCCTTTCTCTTCAATAACATTTACTCAGTTTTTTTTTTACTTTCAGTAACCACTTGCATCTTAGTGGCTTTATTGCCTTGTTTTGAGTGAACTGATTAAAAATAAATTAATATTTGATTGGTTCAAATTTGTAAACCAAACAGATGACTCAAAACAAACCTACCTTTCTGCTTGACATCAAGGGATGCTTTAAGAGACTCAAATAAATCCATAGTACCAGGAATATCTTGCCAAAAGCTCTCCAAATAATCTTCCATTGTTAAAACAAACACATTGAGAGTTTTGTAGCCCAATTCTTCAACCATCTTCAACAAAGAAATAAAACAAGAAATTAAATCACAAAATTTGGTACTAAAAATAATACTATGTCAATTCTATAATACTTCCTCTAAGTTAAAACATAATTAAAATAAGGTATATGTAGCAACATACAAATAAGTAGGTTTACAAAAATCTTCCTTCAAATTAACTACCTTGTCATAGGTAAACACTTTATTTATAGAAAGGCATGTGAAATATTTTCCAGATAAATAGCACAAAATTCTCAAATATAAATGAATATAGAAGTCAAAACATATTTTATTTGTTCCTCTTTAGTTAAATATTATAGAAAGTAAACATTTTGGTCAATATACAAAAAAGGTCAAAATCTTGGAAAAAAGTGTCAGTTTTTTAAAAAAATGATGTGTTAATTCATAAGAGCAAAGAAAGACTCAGAGTTTTAAGGTTAAGAATGTGTCAAGAATAAAATTGAATTTTCTTTCATGTTTATGAAAAATTTGTTTGCTCTCTCAGAAAACTTTCAGTATCTATTACATAAAAGAAAAATAACAGTAAACTTTCTTTCACCTGGAACTAAATCATGGCTAAGATTGTTTTATTTATTCAGAGTTTATAAAGGATAAAGATTACTCTATAAAACAATATTTTATTAATAAGGAAGTATAGTTTATCATTACTAAGTCTAATCATTTTATATTTCCTAAATTTGACATTATTTTCTTTACTTTCACTGAAATATGCTAGAAATTTTCAAGTTTTCAAAATTAAATCAAGAAAATACAAACATTCAGTACAATGGTCACAATATATGGAAAAAAAGAAGGTCACATTTTAAACTGAGACCAGGAGTATATGGATTAACCTTTAACATTCTTGAGATGATTTTGTTTGCAAAGAAAAAAAATTTTCACGGCAAGTGACTCAGATGAATGAATGATAATGTATCTGAATTTTGCAGTTGTGTTGTCATATCCTACTATAGCAACAGAAAATGACCATGACTGAAATTAAGTAGTGCAGTAGAGGATCCTTGAAAAACAATGAAGTGGAAAAGAAAGTAGTGAATAATGCAGTGTGTTAAAGGTTAATCAACACCTTATCTTTTTGCTTTGTATTTTATTGAAATTATGCATTGTAATTCTAGTAACAATTACTTTATATCTTTCCTTCTATTTTATTATATTTATCTACATTTATTTGAACTTATAACTAAGCAATGCAAATCACTTCCAGTTATATTTATAAAAACAGGAAAATATTAGCAAAATCAACCAAACTTTAAATATTGATTACTGGTGAGTATTTCTGAGAGAGACATTGATTCTTTGATCAAAAGTTTTATGATGGACAAAGTTTTTCAGAGTAAATTTAGCAAATTTTTAAAAGTTTTCTTCAGCCTAATTTTAACATTTTCATGAAAATTTTCTAAGTTTATCAATCAAAATTATATTGTCCATGAGTAATAAAAACAAAGAATTTTTTTACCAATGACCATTAAACTAAATTTTCATGAGAAAATTCAAGATTTTTAGTAATTCAGAAAAAGAATGTCCCTACACATTAAAGACCCTTCTTCTTAAACAGTTTTTACTTTTAATTTGTCTGGGAAAATGAAGAAAAAGTGATTTAACTTACTGTAAGATCATGAGTAACCATTATAATTGGTTTTTGCCCTTCTAGATGATGGTAGAACCATTTAGCAACCTGATAACAACATCTGTACAAAGAAGCATCAAAACAATTTCAATATTTATGAAACTTAATAAGTAAAATAAAAAGAGAAAACTAAGTAGACCTTAACAGCAGCATTAAATTATACCTAATTCATTTAGATAGATAGATAGAAATAGAGGATAAGTTCAGAAAAAGAGATCAATAGTACAGGAATCATTCAATTAATACATTTTTGAATAGTGTGCTAAAATTTCTATATACCAAAATTTGATCAGTGCATACATCATACTCGATTAGTGCGCTAAAAAAATTTTCAGTTTGACCATAGTAATTGATTTTTTTTATAGTTACCGATGTAAACATTAGGCGCACTAATCAAGGGATTTCTATATTTTTATTAAGAACACCAACCCATAGCTACTCACTAATAGCTGTTCTAAATAAATAATGTTTTAGTCAATGAAGTAATTGTACTGAAAAAAATTTTTTACTGGATAAATACAGTCATTCATAGTCAGCATAAAAGTATTTAATTTCTTTTATATATATATATATATGATAAAAATATAATTTTAAGATATATGCTATATTTATGGGTAAAGGTGCTCAATATCAGAGATAGAATGTACATAAATATAAAAGTGAACTCCAAGGTCAATACCAAATGGCAACAGTCTGTTTTATGCTTCAACACAATGTTCAGACTATGTGAGTGATGTTTTGTCTTGACTATATATGCTGGTCAGTGGTGCATTACAAGTAGTAAAGTCTATTGTATTACCCTGACAGTTATTGGGTGGGCAGTAATATATATTATATATATGAATAAAAAGAGACTGAAGAAAACTGAGGGACTTAAGCATTCTCGATAAAGTCCCTCAGAAGACAGAATGCATTGGCTAGGAATAGTTTTCCTCTTGTCTCTTTTTATTCATTTTGTTTCCTCTACAGATACACTCTACCTGAGAATATATATATATATATATATATATATATATATATATATTATTTAGTCTTCCAAACTATAGATTTTATTAGCAAAGTAAAAATATTTGGAGACAAATATATGTGATCATCTAAGAAGAAATTTGTTTAAATTCATTGCAGAAAGAGAAATAGTTCATTCACATTAGTCAATATTTTAAAGACATGTTGGATAATGAATGTTACCAGGATTGAACACAAGTTAATAAAAGTATGTGTAATACTCTTATAATAAGCTGGCCCACTTATTAATGAAAATGACCACTTCAAGGTTAATAAAATAGCTCTTAATATTTATTTGGGGAGAAAAAAGATTTGAGTGTACTTGGCGAATCTATGTTCATAAACCTTAACACGTACTCACCTTGTTTGCCATTTAGAAGCTTCTTCTCCAGGTTGCCGTTCACAGTAAACAGATTGATGAAACTCATTATAGAATAATATAGAACCTTTTCGAGGATCCCCTAGAAGATTTTTGAGACGTTTCATTTGACGATTTGTACCTTCATATTGTACCTGGAATAACAAATTCAATGATGAACACACAGCAATATTCTTGGAAAGAAAAAGGAGTGCACAGATACTACACTGATCCTATGCTAGTATTATAAATAAACTTTAAAAAAATAAATGCACCATTATGACAGTATAAATCCTAGTCCTAGAGTAAAATACTAGACACTTGTTGTTTTCTGAAGTTTTAAGATGAAATGACATAATTTAAACTAGTACATTTATTTTCATTGTTTTTAACACCACATTACAGCTAATATGATTCTTCAGCATTCCATACTGTAGACAATTTCTTCTAAAGGTTACCAGATTCAATATATGCTGATATGTTGTACTAAAAAGCAAAGAAACTACAACTAGAAAAAAGTGGATGCAGTACTTAACTGTCATATTCAAAGGAATGTTGCCATGTATATATGCAAACAATCAATCTACACTTATCTATTTGAAACTTCACCAATCACAAAAGAGTGAAAATTCTTATTGAAATGATTAAAACTGATGATCATCTGGAATTATGTCCACACACATGTTCAGATATTCAGGATGCTCTCTTCAAATAAAAATAAAACTATCCCATAATCAATGCAGTACTGTACTGAGTTTTTAGTGGCACTTTTTTGCCTATCTCCTCTCCAGATAACATGTAACAGATTGGATATCATAACATAATACTAGCAACAGGGAGTGAACTCTGACCTGACCTGACCTATTGCAAAGAGAAGTGAATCTATGTCTTTCCTAAGGACATGAGTGCAAAGAGAATACAAACTATCTCAAACAGAATTTGATCTTGCATCAACAATTCCATTTTCCATGCTGTACTTTTAGTGCTATCTTTCACAAGGTCACTCATGTACTTAAAAACAAACCACAGAAAAAGGTAGAAAAAGAGAAGACAGATGTACTAGGAAATTTGTGGATTACTTTCTGTTGTACCAGCTTTGTATATATATATATATATATATACGATAAAAATATAGCTTTAAAGTATGCTATATTTGTGGATTAAAAGGCTCAATAGCAGGGAATATAAAAGTAGACATTGAGGTCAACACCCAGCAGTGACAGTTTGTTTCATGCTTAAACACAATCTTCAGGCAATGTGTGTTGTGTTTTTGTTCAACTATTTATATAGGTAAATTAACAAACTACATATACATACATAAATACAAGTAAATGTAATAGCAACAATCAACAGCAAATAATAAATCAATCAATAATAGATAAGAATTAAAAAAAGCTAAACAACACTCTAAAATAGCAACAAATAACCACAATTATTTCTACTCAATAGCCTTGAGAATTTTAAACAAATCTGTTACTGCCCACCCAATAACTGTTGGGATAATGCAGTAGATCTCCTATCCATAATGCTCCATTGTCCAGCACATATATAGTCAAGCAAACCCACATGACCTGAAGACTGAGTAAGCATGATACAAACTGTCGCTGCTGGGTGTTGACCTCAATGTCCACTTTATATATATATATATATATATATATATATATAGGTAAAATCTGTGGGTAAATAATCCAAGTGAATCCTAATAATATGGATATTAAAACTGATCCACAAAGAAAGCTCAATGTATTTATTACAGAGCATATATAAATAAATTACATATAAATGAAATTCAATACCATATATATGGGGTATTGAATTTCATATATATATATATATATATATATATATATATATATATATATTTTCTCAAAAATTATAATTCCAGATATCTTGATAATTATTTCCACCTCATCATAAAAATTCAGAATTGTAGAAATGTCATTTTAAGATGTAAGATGAAAGCAAGACAAAATACATTGAGCTATGTTACATCACCAGGCTCTTAACTCATAGGGGCACCACATGTACTGCAGCCACAACTGCAATAATGTGTCTAAGGCAAAATAGCCTGACAAAGCTGATCCTTCTTCAGGCTTGTTTTGAATTCAGAGTTTTCCTTCTCATAGACTGATTGCCACCTCAAGACAAGAAAGCTCAGTCAGCCTTGTAATTTAACCTATAGTTTGGGGGGATGGATTCATACATTTTCCAAGAGTATTTGTGCAAAAGTGAACATGATGAATTCAGCTGGAATTCAAACTCAGCAAGCTGAGTGACTAACCATTATACTACCCACAAATCCATATGCACTGATAGAGTAAAAAATAAAATGACAAAATATTTTCATTAAATACCCAAATAAATATAATTAAGTATATATTTACACTATTGTATACAGTTTGCGGAAAGATGATTCCTCGGATATCAGGCATTTCCCAAATTTCCATGTAATCCCTGGCAATTTGACAGTCGGGAATAACATAATGTGATACATCAATTGGAAGTAATGTATCTTTATCTGTAATTAAACAGAAAAAAATAACGTCAGTTGATCAAGTAGTAGAAATGCTTCATAAAACCTAAAAATGATATTCAATAATAGCACAAGATTAAATTTAATGTTGCAAGGTACAAAAAGTGTAAAATTATTTCAGTAAAATAATAAAAAAATAGTATTGTTTCTTAATTTTATATTTATCTTTTTATCCAGCACAAATTAACAGCTTATTATCTAAAGTATATACAAATGTAAATATTATGCATATAGATTTATATTACAAGAGAAAACAAATGTTGAATCAATCAAATGTCATACTAAGAATAATACTTTAGTAACCCTCATTTCAATTTTCAAACATTTTATGAATTTCATTGGTTGTTAAATAAAAATAAGCTTCAAGAAATTTCCATAACAAAACAGTCAAAAATTGTGCAAAAATAGGCTCAACTGACATAAAAAAAAAATTCTCAAATTCATCCCTAATTTAAATGTTTCAAGAAATCCTATTGGCTAAAAAATAAAAAAATATAACATTCGCCCACGCATTTCTCAGAAAAAATTGCAACAAGCTACCAAGCCGCTGGAACCGATTTTGTTTTTAAAAAAACTATAAATAGAAACAGCAAACGAATTTTTGTCGCATTTTGAAACTCACACATGCAAAGATACACATGGGAATTATGTGTCAAAATTGCCGCCAAAGAAACAAACTTTCTTTATGAGAGATTGGAAAAATTCATACAACAAACTTTTTCACTTGATTTTCTTTTGTCTAAGTTAAATTCAACCTTTCAACCAAAGGCAGACAACTTTTTAGACATTGAACATTTCTGAAACAGCAAAGATCTTTTTCTCTATACTTTTGCACACATCATTACAAACAAAGAAATTGTAAATTGTGTATATAAAATTTAATCTGTTGTTTCAAATATGTATTTTTTGTTGTGATCGAATATTGTTACCATTTGGCCATTTCTTATAATTTATGTTTGTGGATATTGCATATTTTATTTGCAGCACAATCTTAAATATTCATGCATCCTTCTTAGATCTACTACAATACTAAATGTCGCCACTAAAAGTAAGCCTTGTAAATCAAGGGTGACAACTTCTGCATATATTTATGTCAACTAATACAACTACAAACTCAAACATTTCACTGAAATATAACAAAGATTTTCCTTTTTATATAAAATACAAGTTATTTAATACTTCATTCTGAGACCAAATTAAACAGCTGTGAATCCGACCTGGTATACGTAAATATCAAAAAAGGTAAATCAAATATTATTATGTACTAATTTTCTTTTTCTAACATATAGTTCAAAACATTTTGCAAAATATATCCAACTTTTTTATTTTTTTCTGATCTCCCTATACAATTAATCTTTATCAAAAACAATAATTTCAGAATGGTTAAATTTTGCCCTGTTGTTTGACCTATGTGATCTATGGAGAAATGTTGGGCTAATTAATTACAATGACAACAAAAATTTTGTTAAATATTTTTTGTAAAATACATTTTTCATTAGTAGGCTAGGACCTTACTGATGTTCCTACCCAAGCAAGAGAATAATTTATAAAATGACAAATAATAACAGTCATTATTTTTAAGCTAAAAGAAGTCTACAGTAGATATAGTAAGTTTTACCTACCTTACACAAAGTTAGAACTAATATATTTTGCCAAAACAAAGATAATTTAAGAATAATCTGTACAGCTTTGTATTGATTCATTTGTTTTTTGCAGCTTATCAGCTGAAGAGGGAGATAGATTCATGCCTTCCACAAGGGTATTTGCGTACAAGTGATTGTAACAAACCAAATTGGAATATGAACCTGTCTCTCTAATTTCTCATTTTGAGCTACTATTCATTACACCATCTGCACATACAGGTTTGTGATGGATGAATGACTTCTCAAACATCAAATGAAAACTTTATCTAACAAGAAAATATAGATTACTATTTGGAGACAGACAAAAAATAAATTGGGAAATTTTTATGCTGATCATTCCCACCCCAAAATAGAGTAACCTTTTATTGTTTCTTGAAAAAAATGTATTAAACCATTTCTTTACCTCTGTTTAAATCACAGGAACTTGAACAAAGGGAACTCCTACAGGGCACATCATTTCTTAAGTACAATTCTCGAACAACACTGACAACACTACCCTTCCGATTGGTTTTCAGTCGAAGTTGACGATTTACACGTGACACACTAGCAAGTCCTGCTACAGGAGATGTCTTCTGTTCTTCACAAATTTCTTCTTCAATAGTCATTGTGTGACAGAGTTATATACTCACACACAGTCAAAAAAGGAACTGTAAAAAAATAAATAAATAAATAAAACAAATGACATGTTATCATTCAAGTAAAATATTGCTGGAGATTAACAAAATTGATTTACTAAATTCTTTAATATTTAATGTAAATTTTAGTTTAGTAAACTGACATTTAGGCAAGACAAAGAATTTTCTTTTTTAATTTTTAGTTGATATAGATATATGTTTAGGTTTACCATAATTTCCAAGTTTTAAATCAGGACAGTTTTCGACTTTTATTGCAGGTTCAGTTTGTTTTTATGTCCCAACACCCCATCAAGTTTGACTCTGAGAGTGAAAAATTAAGCTTAAAAAAAAAAAAAAACTATTTTCGCAAACTTTTTTTCTCTTTTACCCCAGAGTAGAGTAATCAATTTGTGAACAGTTCTACCATTTAATTAATCAATGTTAAATAAGAATTGCAATAAACAGATCTTTTTTAATTTAATTTTTAACAATGTTTGTGTGTGTACGATACAACGGTCTGAATTTCAGTTTGGATTTTGTTCACGTTCCCCGCCACGCTTGATCTTTTTTTTATAAGTTTAATGCAAGTAATTGTTGTTTTAAATAAGTAAAATTATAATCATTTACCCCCTTTTGAACTGTAGGTGAAATAATGTGCGTTACGTAAACTTTATTTTTTTCTAAGAAAATGTAAATTTAAAAGTAAAACTGTTTGTTTTGGTTTCATGAAAAAACGTATGTTTATTAGTAACATAAGTTTTATGAACGAATCAATCTATCTCCAACCACACAAAAGCAGTTAGAATCTTACATAAAAAAAGCTAATAATAAAAATGCGTTACCAGTTATTTGTCGATGACGACGAAATTCAATTTGTCAAAGTTTATTGTCGAAAATCGCAGGAAACAATAAACACCAAAGGCCGCCATTTGACGAGATGTAACTTAAAATGTAAATATTGGTATTTTCGAAACAATATTTTTTTTAATATTCACATAATTTTAATACTTTCTAAAGGTTTTAAAAATAAAATATTAATTCTTGAATAGAAAAATATTCATGATCAATTAATTATACTTGTAAAGGAAAAAATATAGTTAAGAAGTTCCAAACTACGGGTGATATCAATTTGGTTCGGAGGGAAGTCAAAAAATGAAGATCAAAGTGAAGAGTAAGTGAAAGAAGAAAAAAAAAGCTTCAATATTATTTAATTTTTTCTGAAAAACCTAGATAGTTAAAATATACCTTTATTTACTCACCTTCAGCTGAGAAATTAAAATAAATTTCTGCTTTCTTGTGCGAATTATCTTCCTCTGTTAAACAATTTTGGTTATATGTGGGCTTACTACACAAATAGGTAAATTAAAAACACTGAAATATTGTTTTAAATTTTAGCAACTTCACATTTACTGAAAGGAATTTTATAAGAATTTCTATTTATAAAACAAAACAATTGGAAAAACTGAATGCAAATAAGATTATTAAGACAGACATTCAAAAATTTCATAGAAATAAGATTTTTTCTCAAAAAATGGTAAATGATTCGGTAAAACGAAAATTTTTACTTATGTAATTTTTTCTGTTTATGAAAAAAAAAATTTCTTGGAGGAAAATGAAGAAATTGAAATTTTATGGTGGAAGCAAAAGGTTATCTAAAGAGGATTTGATTTACAAAGTTCATAAATGTCAAACAAGACCCTGGCTTTGTGTCCGATATTTCGATATTGAATGTTCACTTTGGTAATAATATAATTTTACACGTTCTCGTTTGTTTTATTCTGATTTGTATTGAATTAAAAAATAGTTGTATTTCTCGGGAAAAGATTTAAGACAGTTAACAAAAAAAAATTGATGTGGTTTACAGAGCAAATTCACTTAGGTACTTTTTTACCATTATGAAATAATTAAATTTTAAAAACAAACATCTCAATTCCTTCGATAAAGTCAAAAATTTAAAAAAATGGATGCAACTTTCACTCTTTTTTTTTTTTCCGAAATCAAAGTAAAAAATCGCTATCTTCTGTTTAAAAAATAAATGCCGAAAATATAGGAATTATCGAATGCAAATGAAATTTTTCAGTACATTCATTCATAAATTTTATAAGGTTATTTTATTAGAAAACTTTCTTTGTATAAATTAAATTAATTTTTTTTTCACCGTCTATTTTCGTTTTCGGTATTTCGTTTGTACTTTTTAATTTAGGAGAGGTGTTCCTGAAAGAAGAATTTTCTTGTTTTTAATTTAAAAAAAAAAAACAGAAAAAATGTTTATTGAAAAATAAATGCTATTTTCAAGCGTGAATCTTTTTATTTTAGCACCTCTTACATTTTTTTTTTTTTTTTGTATGGATATTCAAAAAAGAAATAATTCTGAATTATCACCTTTGAACTGACTACACAACTACATTAGTTCACAAATAACTCTTCAGAATAATTAAGAAAGGACTAATTGGGTGCAATTAAATATGACATCAAACAGGGTAAGAAAAAATAAAAAGCGATGAATTAAACTCAAAAAAATAACATTTCACTAGAGACTAGTTTTTAATTTTTATACTTCTCATCTCATGTACAATAATACTAGTATGAAAAATAAAAATATTCATTAAGTTTCATGAAAGTGTAAAGAATAAAAATTATATTAAATTACTCTACTGCTTATTTTTATTTTAGATATAAGAACCGATGGCTTGTTGAATATTACTTTAATTATTTTTTTTTTTAAACAGGTATTACTGGACAAAAACAAAACTATTGTTGATTAATCACAGACTACCATGTGTAAAAAATTTCGTGGTCTTAAACAAAAAGTAAAAAACATGTTTACAAAAACAAGTTATTAATCCTTAAATTTATTGACTTTGAAACACTTCTTTAGGAAAAATATTGGATATTTAAATTTAGGTACCAGCCTTCATGAGATCGCTAAAAAAGAGCATAGCATGATGAAAAAAACCGCCAAACTTGACGAAAACAAAATTTTATCGTCTAAAAATGTTTGTTATTATTAAAAGGAAAATTCAAAGTATTTGGGGGGTATTTTTTTACATTTTTTAATCGTTCCTAGCACGTCCGAAATTTTCGTGAAAAATTTTTTTTTGAGTCAGCAAAATTGACAGAATCATTCATGTCAACCATTTTTTTTCCATTTTATAAAAAAAATGAAAATCTCAGTTTCAAATTCTTTTAAAAATCAATTATAATTTCTTCAAAACTTATTTTAAGAAAATTAGAAATTATAATCTTTACTTAAAATATTTTGAAACAAGCATTACTTAGTTTCTGCACCGAAAAGAAGTAGTTTAAAAATAAAATAAAGCAGGTCACAACATTTCGCGTCACCTGACAGGTGATGATTTCATCACATATTGACAGCTTACATGAGGAAAATTTATCATACGGGAGGACAGAAGTGATATTTAGATTTAAGTGAACAAATTATTTACCTCGTCATTTTTAAGGAAAACTTTTAGCACTCTAATTTTTTTTTTTTTTTTTTGCACTTAGCTTTCACCTTTGTTTATGATGTATTATGGAAAATATATGAAAAAATTAAAATAAGACTGTTGAGAGTGAGATTAAATTTTATAAGAAAGGTATCTAATTAATTTATAGGTACTTTTTTTTATGAAATTTTATCAGAAGTGTACATAAAATACTATAATTTTATGTACACTTATTACATTTTACTGTGTTATTTGTATTTCCATTCATTTTATTATTAATTTTGATATTTTATTAATGGAAAAATTTCATAACTGAAATTAATATAAAAAATAAGATCATATAAATTTCATAAGATGATACTAATACTTGTAGGTACCCTTCTCAGTTGAAATTGAAAAATCAAACTTAGGCCTAAGGTAGCAATGTATGTTTCCCACCAACCAAACAATTACTGCTTATACTAAATAAATTATATTATAGCTAGAAACTTTGATTTTTATAAATTCACAGCATACTATATTTATAAGCCTTGAATGTAACATTCAGTGTTAAATGTTTAGTATATCTCATCAAGAGAATTGAAAAATATCTTAATACATCTTATTGTATTATTTTTATATAGAAATGTATATTATGCAAAATAATTAGCCATTATTAGGCAAGTTTGTTTTTTTTTTTTTATGAAAAATTAATTAAATATAAAAAAAAAAAAAACTCTTTTATTAATTCTATAGATTATTTTCTAAATATTAAACATAAGCTGATATTTTCTTTTTCAATTGATTCATATTTTTTCTTTCTTTCATAACCCTGGAAATATGTACCTGTAGAGTGAGTATAGCTTTATTTTTTAATACAAATTTTTCTCAAATTAAACAACATTCGTAATGCACTTATGCGCCACCAAAACTTTTGTGATCACAATTTTGATCTGGAAAATGTCATTATAATAATTATTGAAGATGCATCTAAAATGCTATGATCTAAGAATTCCGTACAATTAATCTACAACTGGGCTATTTCAATTTATACTTTGTTCTTACTAAAATGATATTGGAACAATGTGAGATACATAAACCTTGAAAAAAAAAAAGTTGAAATTAGTTAAAGTCTAATTTTTTATAATGATACAGAGTCAACAGGGTTAGCATACATGCATTTATATATATATATATATATATATATATATATATATATATATATATATATGTATAAAATGCAATTTTTTTGATTGCCTTTACATGCATCCTCATATAAAACTGATCAAGTGTCACATTCTCCTAATGTGGGATGGTTGTTAAATATTTGATGAAAGTGTAGTATCTGTATACTCTGTTAAGTGTTACACAAAACAAAAAAAGGATTTCTGTGTATATATCAGTAATGGGATGATATATCAGAACTTTTGGGGGTATCAGAATCAGCATCCAAGAATTTTTAGCCTAGTTCCCAATTCCAAAGATGATTCTTTGGATTTTTTTCTTTTTTATTGTTGTTTAAAACTTAATTTTCCATTCCTGGTACTAATGATAAAAAGATATAAA